AGAGAGAGAGAAAGAGCAACAATAAGTAAGACAGAGAGAGAGGGAGACATAATGAGAAAGAGAGAGAGAGAGAGAGCGAGAGAGAGAGAGAGAGGAAAGAAACATAACAAGAAAAAACAAAACTGAACAAGAAGAGGAAGATACGGAGACGGAGACGGAGAAAGAGAAGGCGCAAGAGAAAGCAGAGCGCCCCCCGCAGGGGGGGGCGAGGCTGGGGGGGGCGCAGCGTTAACCGAGGGTCTGGGCCAGGCGGTTGCGGCGGCGGTCGGTGAAGCATAGGAGACTTGGGGGCCCTCGGAACGAGCCTCGATGGCGAGGCGTCGCAGTGCGACCCTCGCGGCTGGGATGAGCTCGGCAGCTTCGGTGACTGAGAGAAGGGAACGACGACCCTGACGGACGGAAGCGAGACGGAATATATTTCAGCATTCGACGACGCGCGCGCGTTCACCTCGGAGGCCAGACCTGACTTGGGTCGAGGCAGGAAGGCCGGAGCGGGGAATGCTGGCGGCGCGATCGTGGAGCCGAGCGCAATGGCATGCATAGTGGCTGAAAGACGCGCGAGGAAAGTCCTCGCAGCCAGACGCGCGCGCCCGGGTTCGCTGCGATCTCGCGCCAGTGATGGGCGCGAGAGAAGGGCGACCCAGGAGGGGGGCCACGGGCCGGGCGCTTTGGATAGCTGCCCAGCCAATCATGCCATCCTGCTAAACTGGGCAAGAACCATTTCTCTGTCCTGCGTTCGGCCAGAGGAGCGAGAGGCGATCAGAGCGTGGCGGGCAGCGGCGCGGCGCGAGAAGGCGCTGCCACTTCGGCCGGGGGCCCGCCCCCCCCCCGGGCGACGCCTCGCAACGCCCCCCCCCCGCGCCCGCGCGCAGCCCGGGGCCCCTCAGAAATCCGAGCGCGGCGGCTGGCAGAAACCTAGCAAGGGGCCCCGACCTCCAGACGGCAGGGGCCACCGCCCGAGGGCCCCGCCGCGCCGTGGGCGCGCGAGGGCGAAGGTCGCTGCGGAGCATGCTCATCGTCTGGGGCCATTGCGGGGGGGCGACGAAGGCAGTGCGCACGGCGGCAGCGGCGGCGGTGGCGCGCAACGATCGCACGCGCGGCCCCTGCAACTGCTCGAGATTTAATCGAGGAGAATACCGTGCGACCGCCATCGACCACTGACACCTGCGCGAGCAAATGTCGCATGATGTTGGCCAGGCTGGGAGACGCACGAGGGGGCGCAGAGAGCTTGCTGCAAACGCAGCTGGGGCCCAGTCGTTAAGCCCCGACGAACTTCCGCGATCGCTCGGCCGCGCGCGGCCACCTTCTCAAGAGGGGCCCGAAAATGCCAATCAGGGGCGACCCTGGGGCCCAGACAGAAACCCAAGTGCAAAATCACTGACGCAATATCGAAGTCAAATCACTTGGCCGAGCTACGCGGGCTGGCCCCGCCTGGGGAAGCGGCTCTCGCGCGGCGGGGCACGTCCCTGAGGCCGGCCGTCATATCTCCGTCGACGACCGAGACTAACTGGACGACGCAGCACTTCAAAGCTTCGAGAGCGAGGCCGCCGAGGACGCTCTCGCCATCTCGCGATAGCCTCTGAGGTGGGGCAACGCTGCGCCGACGCTGCTCGGACCTAGCCGTGCCCTGGGGCCAGGGCGCCCCCGCGCATGTCCCGCGAGACACTGTCTGCTGCCTTCGCAAACAAGCCACGTCTCAAGGGGCGCCCCCGCAGGATCCCCGAGAGCACGGAGAAGCTGGAGGTGGGGGCCTCGAGCAGGGAGGAGACAAGGGCTGCGATGGTAGAATGCTTCGGCGAGGAGCCGGCAGCCGCGAGGAAGCCCGTCCCCGCGCGCGGGCGCGCGCGTCCAACTCGAGCGCATTCGACGATCAAATGCGGCCTCGAATGAAGCCGATCTTTTTGGCCGCCTCCGAAAGACCGATTCCGGCATGCCCCGCGGCGACCTCTCAACTGGCATTCTTAAACCCAACTGGTCGGGCGCCCCGACGCATTATCATCCCCGTGCGAGCCGCCCATGGGAATGAAGACCTGCAGACAGGAGGGGGGGGGGAGGGGCGCACGGGGGCCTGGGGCGAGCCAGCGTGAAATACCTCCACGAGCACGCGCGGGCGCTGCCCGAGGCCCTGCGAGGCGCCGGCCAACGCGCCGAGGCCAGGCTCCGAGCGCGCCCCCCCCCCCCCGGGGAGGCAACGGCGCGGCGCCGCCCCGGCGCCCGAGAGTTCTCGGCCTGCTGCAGCCGAGACGGTCAGCGCGGTACTCCTGCGACTGGAGGTCTGCGCGAGCGCTGGCGAAAGCATCGGGCGACGCGGGGGCTGGCGAGCGAATCGAGGAGGCAATGGCGAAGAAATATTGACGCCGCGAATGCCCTCGCCAGCTCGAGGAGGCCCCCGAAGCGGGGGCCTCGGTGCCGGGCGGCGCGCGCCAGCGGGCAGAATTGCGGCGAGCGGCGCTCGAGCATCCGCGGCCGAGCGCGAAGCGGAAGATCCGAAACCGCCCGCTGCCGCCCGCCTGCGCCGGGTGGCCGTCTCGAGCTCGTCGGGCGCAGATGGGGGGCCAAACGCGCCGACCCCTGTCATTTCCCAATGCTCTTCTATGACGGGGGCAGACCAATCCTCGCGATAGATGGGGCGAGGGATCTCGAGCGAGCGCGCGGCGGGGGAGTCGCCCCACCTGCGCGACTGCCGCGAGGCAGGGGGCGGCGCGCGGTCGGTCCGCCCTGAATCGCGAAACTCCCCATGCTTCGCCGCGACGTCGAGCGCGCGGCCGCGGCTGTCGGAGAAGCCGTGGAAGGGGCGCGGTAATATATCTATCATGGCGCGAGCCCATCCGAGAAGATCGACGATAATGACTGGGGCGCCGCGAGCTCGGTTCCCCCGCCGAAGAAGCCTGCGCCAAACTGCATGTCCAGCGCGGGCCCGCCGCGCTCCTGAAGCCCGCGCTGCCGCCTCGCCTGGGCCGCGACCACCCTCGTCGTTGACGCGAGGGCCCCGCGCGTGGACCAAGTGCTGGGTAGAACAGGTCAACGCTTCATCCACGATATACAAGCACCTGTCATGATGAATCCGAACACCACGAGGGCAGCTTGAGCATCGCGGGCGCGCTCGGTGGCGCCGGAGTCCGCGGCCGAGGGATCGCGGCCATGGACATTTCAATGCCGCTGGCAGAAGACCGCCGCGCGGTGGTGGAGCTTGAGACAAAGAACTCTGCCTGCGACGACTTCATGGGGCACAATGAGGACGAACGGTAAACATTACGTCGGAATGGCTGTTCAGGCGCCGCCGCGAGCGCCCGGGGCGCCGCGGAAAAGACCGTGAGATATCCGAGCCCGCGCAGGACAAGTTGCAGGGGATCCTGGGGATCGGGCGATGAGCATCTTGCCGAGGTCCTCACCCTCCAGCTTGCTGCATGTGCTAATATGGTAGTTGGCGGCGACAAACCACTCAGATATCGACGCGGCCGTCAAATTGCGGCCGGTGTCCACGCGGCAAGTGACGTCCAAAATGCGAAGGCCGGTGGCCCGCTGCCACTTTGCGGACCTCGCGATGGGCTACCTCGGGGCTGCCCGCGCCAAGTCCTGCTCCTTCTCAAATTTCCCGAACCTCTCCACAATGAACGATGATTCGACTCACTCTGGCCGACTCGAATCTCGATCTCCAACACCTTCCGTTCATGCTCACGACAGCGCCTTCGCATGGACTGGTCCACGGCGGCAGCCAAGTGCTCGACGACGCTCGTGAAGGTCTTTAAGCGCTGGACCCTTACCAGCTGCGTAATCGACTCAGCACAGGCTCTCGACATCTCGGCGACGACGTCACTTAAAAGTTTCCCCAACACATCTGAAATCTGAGGCCCCGGCAGAGGGCCCGGAACTCCGCTGCCATGAAGATATTGGGCCCACGGGTACTGCAATGAAAACCAAGAATCTGATACACCGTGGGGAAAAGGCATACTACCACCGTCAGCACCATGCGATGAGGTCCACGGGGGTGGGGTGGAGTGATCCGCGTGGGCCGCCTCTCCTCCACCTGTCGAAAGCCGCTCGACCTCCTGGGGCGGTGAGGCGGCCATCTGCGAGATGCGCTCGAGAAGATTTGACCTGGCGGTGCATCCGGGGATACTGGGACAACGACGGCCAGCACTTGGAGGCCTCGACCCTCTCTCGCTCCGTGGGTGTTGCAGAAAACTCTCCTCCGCCACGTGGCCTGGCTGAACGCTTTCCGGGTCGCGGAGTTGCGGGGAGCGTGGTCTCTCCGGAGCATCGCTGCCCCGATACGCAACACGCGACACGTAGCCTACTGATACCGAGCTCAACACGTGGACTGAAAACGTAGGTCCGACGCGATACATTCGCCAAAACGTGGGCCAATACGTGGAGCCAACACGCAACGTATTGACACGGACGTCTTGAACACGGCAAGTGTTGCGTGTCAAAACGGGCGTATCGAGGCAACTCAGCTCCAGAGATATCCGGCATGTGGCAGTCACTGTCGTCACCCCCGCGGCGAGCGCGGCGAGGAGCGCCAGTAGCTTTGACATCTTTCTTCCTCTTCTTGTCTTTCGTGTCTCTCTTGTCGGGCATCTACGCTGGTTGGGAAGGAATTCGAAATTCGTAAATTGACCCTCCCCTGTCAATGTCTGCGAGGTTGAACGCAGAGTCCTGACACACGGTGGTGGGACAGGATACAGACTTGGGCGGACAGGCCGAGAGAGGGATATCGGAATCTGGACACGTTTTAGCGGTATCCGTTGGGCTCCGCAGGGAGCCTTGCATTTTGAGCCACAACGGCTACGCAAGGACGGTGACGATGATGATGATGATGATGATGATGATGATGATGATGATGATGATGATGATGATGATGATGATGAGGAAGAGGAGAAGAAAGGGGAAGAGGAGGGAGGATAAAGACAATTACGATGAGGATGAGGCTGGGGGGAGAGACGAGGCAGAAAAGAGGATTGCCGTGTGCCGCAGTGTCCGAGCGCTGAGCGCACGGCGTCCTCATGGACGTGATTCATCATCTGCAGGAACGCCTCTCCCCCGCCTTATCGTTCTCTTCCTCTTGGTCCTTCCCAGGCTGTTCCCCACCATCGTCCACATATTCCTCCTCCCATCGGGGCTTGGCCTCTTCATTTTCCTCCCCCTCTTCCTGAGCCTCGTCAAGCTATTGCCCCTCCTACTTATAATCATATTGCCTCCCCTACGTCTCGTTCCCCTCCTCATCCCTCGCGTCCCCCTCATCCTGCACCCTGCCCTCCTCTGCCATCATGCGCCTGCACGTCTGTATCCCCCGCCCGAGGGTGCCCCACAGTCCCCCGCTCTGCCTCCCCCCCTCCTGTTCATCAGCCCCCCCCCCCCCTCCTGCACCTGCGCATGCCCCGCCTCCTCCCGCCTGCTGCCTCCTCCCCCGCTTCTGCCTCCTCGCCCTCGGTGTCCCGCCCCTGGCTCTCCACCCGCCGCCCGCCCCCGCCCCGCCCCCCTCCCTCCGGCGAGTGCGGGGACCCAGGCGCCCGCTCGCCGTCGCTCGGACGTCCAGTCCCCGTGCATTTTTCGATTTCGTGCGTGGTCTTTTTCCCCACATGGTCAAGGATGCTCCTCGATGGTCCTCGCCGAAGGAAGAATACGCACGTCCGAGCAATGCCAAGCCCGAGGACCCAACACCCTCGAGTTCCCCAACCCCCTCTGCCACGGCCAGTCTTGCAAGCTGCGCCGGTGTACGTGGCGGTCCTGGGGCCCGTCCTCGCGAAGAGGGCGTCCAGGTGCAGAGCAGAACTGAAGAGCTCAACCTCGATCTGTTCGAACCGTTGGTGGTCTTGGGACCGCCAAGAGGTCACGGCCCTTCCCCGGGACTGGCTATTCACCCTTTTGTTTGTTTCATGATGGCCCGACGGCCAGGCAGGGGCCCACAGAGGCACAACATGGCCAAAGACCTCATTGACGAGGCAACGCGGGCGGGTCTCGGTCCTTCCATTTAGAAATCGAGCCTGTCCTGGGGTGCGTTCCGGTCACAATCTCAGAGCGGATGTCCTCACCGCAACGAGATGCCTCCTGGATACCACATGAGAACGAGCATGCACGCCTCAAAACCTCAATAAGCGAAGTTCGATAGTCGAGCCGGTCCCCCTGCGCAGCTGCGTTCTAGAGCTCGGGCCTCTGCACTTCGGCTCTCGTTCGTTCGTGGTCGTTCGTCCTCGCCCCCCCCCCCACCCCCACACTCTTCCCCCCACACGCCTACCTGCCCCCGTTCCCACCCCCTCCCCCTGGCCTGGGCCGCTCCAAGGCCCCCGACCCTCTATGTTCGTTCGCTCGTGCGTGGCCGTTCGTCCTCGCTCCCCCCCCCCCTCCTCCCACCACGCGGGCCCTGGCCCTGGCCTGCCTGCCCCTCCCCCTCAGGCCGTGGCCCTTCCCCCTCCCCGTGGTCCAGGGCCGCGCCTGCCTGCCCCCCGTCCCCACCCCCCTCCCCTGGCTGGCCACCCCCACTGTCCCCTGACCCGTTCTGCTCGTTCGTTTGGTCGCTCGTGGTCCTTCGTCCTCGCCCCCCCCCCACCCCCCCCACACTCCTTCCCCCCTGCCCCCAGCTTGACCCCTCTCAGGCCGTGGACCTCTCCCCCCTCGTCCAAGGCCACGCCCGCATGCCTCCCCAGCTCCCTCAATCTGGGCTGGGCCACCGTCAGGGCCCCCTGACCCTTTTGGATGTTCGTTCGTTCGTTCGTGGCCGTTCGCCCTCGCCCCCCCCTCCCCGCCCCTGCACCAAGCCTGCCCCCCTTCAAGCCGTGGCCCGTTCCCACCCTTGCCGCCCACCGACATGTGATTCAAAGCCTCTAAAAAGGCGAAACGTTTTTAGGCCCCAGCGCCGAAGTTTGCTCTGGGGCCTAAGTGCTGGTGTGGCTGAGCTGCTCAATCTCTCACTCCTCCCCCCGATCCTCCTCGGATTTCTCTCCCTCCGCGCGCTGATGTTGCTCCTGCTGCTGCTCTCGCTGCTGCTCCTCGTCTTCGTCCAAATCCGGCGCAGCTGGCAGACCCAGGGAAGCCAGAGAAACTAGCTAAACCAGCCGAATCCCCGGACTACGCAGCGCAGGTAGTGTAACCACTCTAACACCAACAACAACCAATCAACCAACCAGGCAGGCCAGACCAACCAGACCAGACCATACCAAGCAAACCAGACCAACCAACAAAGGCAAGCCTAACAAACCGATCAAACAAAGCCAACTGAATCGATCAAACAAGAGAAGGAGCCTGCGCAAACAAACCGGTGAGACCAACTGATCTGGATCGGATCAGAGAAACCCTGCCGACCAGACCAACCACACCATGTGGCCCGACCAACCAGACCAACCAGATATCGGAACAGCAGTCTCAAACGAATAATGCAAATCAGATCAGCGAGACAAATCATGCAAACTGCAACAACCAAGCACAGACCAGACCGGAGCAGTCAGACCAGTACCAACAAGAGCGAGGAACGCTATGCCAGATCAACAATACCAGACCATATGTACCAGTCAGAGCACACCTGACCAAACAAGGCAAACTAGACCAACCAACCATTGGTGGCCTCTTGGGTTCCCTTCGGCAACTTGTGCGGGCTTCTGGGGAACCTTTGGGAGGCGCTGAGAGATGTTGTGGCGGTCTCAGGAAGCCCGCGTGACTGGGACGCCGCGGTATCTCGCTCGTGGGCAGTGTTTGGGGCATCGTGGAGAGCTCCTGGGGGGGCTCTTCAAGCATCTTGGTGGCCCCTTGAGTTCGACTGACGGCTTGCTCAGAGCCTCTTGAGCGTATCTGGGAGGCTCTATGGGCCACCTTCCTTGGGGGGTCCCAAAAATACCCGCGAGCGAGATGCCGCGGCATCACGCCCGGGGACGCTTTAGTGGGGCCTATTGGCGGGCTCTTGGGCGCCTCTTGGGGACTCGCTGGTGGCCTCCTGGGCTCCCCTGGAAGCTTGCTGGGGGAGTCTGGAGAGTCTTTGCGAGAATGAAGAGGGCACGCTGCGGGCCCACGACATGTCCGCGAGCGAGATGCCGCGGCGTCTCCCGCGCGGACACTAGGCTCGCTCGCAGAGCTCGTGGGCGCCTGTTGGGGCTGGTTGACACTGCCCGCTCCGCTCCTCCCTGACCTCCCCAATTCACGTCCGTCTCGCACGCGACATCCGAACTCTAAGAGCGAACCTGCAGCACAACCGCAACGCAGGATAAACTGCCATGCAATCAGCCACCTCCCCAAACCACGTTCGGCTCGGACGCATAATCCAAAGCCCAAGCTCTAGCGGCGAAGCTGCAGCGCAACACAATCAATGCAGAACAAGCTGCAAGGCAAGACAAATTGCAATGCGTAAACACAACCTCTCCAAACCACGTTCGGCTTGCACGCACAATCCTAAGCTCAAGGCCCAGCACCGGAAGCACAGCGCATCATAACCAATGCAGAACAACTGCAATGCAACAACAACCTACAATACAACACAATCGGTTCCCCTGCCATCGTCACCGCGGTTGACACTGTGGGCGCCGCACCTCCCAGGACCTTCCCAAACCGCGTTCGGCTCGCACGCCGCCTGAAGCAATCCACAAACCATTTGACAATAAAAGGGGCCCCCCATGTCTCCACCTTGGGTTGTCTTTAGCAATGGCGCGCGGCCCTCGCCTTGCACGGTTACTGCGCTGCGCCTAAAACGCCGCGCGCAAAATGATCGATCCTCCGCCGCCGCCCCCCCGCCCACCGCCGGCCCCGCGCCTTGCCGTCGCGTCGACGCGAAGGCGTTCGTCGTATCTCTGGAACAAACGCAGTGGGTCTGGGCGCTCTGGCGCAGCCGCCAAGACAAAATGTTGACAATTAATATTGCCTCCTCCCGTCGGCGGCGTTGGCGAAAGCCACGCCCCATGTTCGCCGGCTCCACTCTCGAGCGCGTGGCGAAGAATGCTTTCCCAATCGTCGGTGCTATATGCATGGCCCTGCGGCCCCTCGGGCCAGGCGTAGAGTTCTTCGGCAATCCAGCTCCTCGAGACCATTGCCAGCACAGGGGGGCGCCATCGTTGCATCTCATCTTTGCGAGACCCAGACGCAAATAAACATGCAGCGAGTTCATGGGCGGAGTGGGCTGATTGCCCAGGCCACGCTTCTGGCTCGCGCGGTAGTTCGCAAACGTCAGCATCGGCCAAACCTCGCGCGGCAACGCGCTCGGCGGCGAGGCGCTGGCCGCGGGGCACAGGTAGCGCCTGAGACCCTTGATGTCGCTCGTGACGAGGTCCGTGATTTCCTCATCCTCCACGTCGTTCTACTTGGGCCCCTCGCGCTGCGCCCGCTATTCCGCCCAGTCAATCTCGTAGGCCTGCATGCCGCCGCGACGTCCCTCCCTCTGCCCCGCGCCCAGCCACTCAGCCGCCGACGGCGGCGCCGGGGCGAAGAGTCGCCCGTCGCGGCGCTCCGGGACGCATCGGCAGCGGGCGGCCAGCCTGCATGCCTTAATAGCCTCAGCCTGGCGGTTGCAATGCCGCGCCGGGTCCGCCTACTCCATCGGCGATGCGATCCTCTGACGCTGGTGCTTGCGTCGCTTCGCCGCCATCAGCTTTGAGACTGCCCGCAGCCTCGCATCGATCAGCTCGGCCTGCTCCTCCGTGGCGTCCTGCTTCTGTCCTCGTAGCTCCACTCGTCGACGAAGTAGTTGTCGGCGCTCCGCCGCGTAGGAAGAGAAGGGTTCTCCATATCCTTGCTGAACACCGAAGTGGCGGGCAGCTTCATCATGAATGCGCTGCTCGAATCCTTTAAATGTAATATCAGGGAAATCCCAATCAATATACGTTCTGACAGGTAGCGTCTGTAGTGCAGCGCATACACCAAAAAGAAAAGGTTCCCGGCCCGCTCCCGTTCGAACCGCCTCCATCAGCTCAGTGCAAGCGCACCTGACACCATACTCGGTCTCGGAAGGGAGGGGTGCTCCATACTTTTGGTTTTCAGCGCAACTGTGGATGGGTAAATGGCATCTCGGCGGCGTTCCTTTCAGAGCCTGCAATGTCGCGCCGAGCAGTGGGGCCACCTGGCATCCTCTCACTAAGGGTCCGATGCTCTGCGGCAATGCAAAAAAACGATTCGGTTCGAGCCCGTCTCTCCGTAGAAAGTGTCAACCACTCTATATATCTACCATTTCCCATGCGTAGATGATGCGATGACAAGAGGCCACGCATACGTTCGCCGGGTCCTCCTCTAATCCGCTCCATCTTGGAGGCTGCCACCACATCAGCGTTCTCGTGCTCATAACCCCCATTGTCACTCCTGCTATATCCAATTCCGTCCTTCAGGTCCATATATATATATATATCATCGGCGTACATCTCGTCGGCATTCATGCTAGAATTCCACCCAACCTTCCCACCAACAGTATGCAACTCCCAATGTACTGGCTCTTGTATATACTTTTCCCTGTAGCGGAAAATACATACTCACCGCCACCACGTCCACATTATGATACTTCACCTTAGCCGCCAAGGCGCGACCAGGGGCACCCGCAGGGCTCGCCCATGTCCGATTGACAGCAGAGCTGGGGGCCCGCGGCGGCAGCCCAATCGCCACGCCACACGACGGGTTGCTGGAAGGGGCCGGTCTGCGCCCAGACTCGCAGGGAGCTTCCAGCATCAATCGTCCACCAGCACGTCGTCGTAAGATCTGGACCTCAGCGTTGCTGCGCGACGTCCTAGTGCCCGCCAGCTGGACGAAGTCAAAAATGTGGCACTCATCCGCGATCTTTTCTACACGGTCTGAGCGACTGGCCCAGCACGGGTTCCATCCCAGACATCGTAACATCTGCGGGGTCGCGCCGTCGTGGGCGCCTTCGGCCTGGCTGGCCACATCCGTCAGCCTCAACCGTCGCGGGTGAGGCACCCGAATACGGAATCTCTGTTCGGGTGCGAAACATGCCTGCTCACGATCAACCTCGAGCCTGCAAGCTACGACGCCGACGACGACGACGAAGACCACGACGACGCCGACGCCGAGACCGACGACGAGGACGACGACAATGACAACGCCGACGACGTCGCCAGCGACGACGACGACGACGACGCCGACGAGGACGACGACCACGACGACGAAGACGATGACGCAGACGACGACGCCGTCGCCATCGAAGACGACGACGACGAGGGAGGAGGGATGACGACGACGGCGACAACGACGACAACGACGAAGGAGGGAGGACGGCGACGACGACGACGACGACGACGACGACGACGGCGACGAAATAGGAGGGACGACGACGAGACGCCGACGACGGACGACGACGACGAGGGAGGAGGAAGGATGACCACGGCGACAACGACGACGGAAACGACGACGACGCCAAAGAGGATGACGAGGAAAGACAAAGGACGACGACGGCGACGACGACGACAGAGAGGGAGGAGGGAGGACGGCGACGACGACGACGCAAGAGCGCGCGCGCACGCTTTTGTTGAAAATCCGTGTTGTGAAGCCATGTTTTGTTGTAGTATGTTTTTGGGACACTCGATTTTGCTTCCGAAACGGGAGGGGGTCTTGAAGGATTTCGGCATGCGCGCGCGACGACGCGCGCGTGCACTTCGTCATCTTTTTTGCAGAGGACTCTCGCGACGGCACGCGCGAAAAGGGCGCTTGAAAGATTTCGACATGCGCGCGCGAAGTCCGTTTGGTAGTATGTTGTGAAAGCCTTGAAACACCGTTCGTTTCTTTGAGATTTCGCAAGAGCGCGCGCAATCTTTGTTAGAGAATCCGTGTTGCGAAACCAGGTGCTTTTGTACGTTTGATTTGGCACCTCGATTTTGAAATCCTTCCGAAACAGAGAGTTTTGGAAGGATTTCGGCATGCGCGCGCGACGACGCGCGCGTGTGCGCTTCGTCTCATTTGTTGCAAGGGATTCTCGAACACGTATGATCGTTGATGAACGAGTGTGCGCGCATCGTTGTTTGCAGAGGATGGCAGGGGGTGTCGATACCGGCCTGGCTGGGATAGTATGAATTCACAGGTCGGATGGATATTCGGTCAGCATCCTATGTGGTTTGCATCGGTTCCTGGGGGATCTTTGTTAGGAAAGAGACTCCAGTGCTAACCTTGGGATCCGAAGTAGTGATTTTGTTCAATGCTCGGTCCCCGGAAATCTCGACCCATTCCCCAGGACCGGTTTTTCATGCTGAGCCGTTTTTTGACGGTCCCGGGGCCCGGGGCGGGCCCCTAAAGGCCGAGAGTTTGGAAAAGCATCCGTCTCGATTGTTTCAATACGTTGGCTCTCTGGGAAGCCATGCGCATCAGCGCAACGCAGTGCAAAGCAACGCCACGCAGTGCAATCATGCAGAGCAGCGCAGCGCAAACCGACCCAGCGGCGGCGGGGGGCGACGGGCGGCGACGGGCGGCGACGGGCGGCGACGGGCTGGCCGGACCGCCACTGGGGCACGGTTATTGAGCAGGGGCTGGCCGTCCCGGCATTCCGATAAGCCTACCTTAATATGTTCTTAGAACCCCAAGCTATGAACCCAAAAACCCACCTATAAGCCTATCTTAGAACCCCAGAATGTTCTATAAGCCCCCTATGAAACTATAAACCCAAAACCCAAAACGTTCCTTTAAGCCTACCTTAGAACCCAAACATGTTCTAATAACAAAAACTATGTTCTTAGAGCATAGACCCGATGTGTGAAAACAAGACGGTCCCGGCCAGAAATGTTCCAAGAACATTGCGTGGAAACCACGACAGGTTCTTAGAACATTGTTCGGTAAGCCTACAGGCGAGCCAGGACGCTTCGCAACTGCTTGAAATTACCTTAGAACACGACTGACAATCCCTAGGATCAAGTACTGTTGGGGGAAAGAGCCCGACCGGAGCAGCCCTGGACCCCATCCTTCTGCTGCACTTCTCGAGCACGATCGATGCGTGAGGGCCCGGGGGCCCGAAGCACGGCAAAATAATCCGTTTCGAGAAAATGCGACGCCAGGATCTCAGGGCTGTTCCTTCACTGCCAGGCGGCGCCTCTGGCCTTTGAGTGATTTTCTAGGCCTTCCCCGAAGACACGGAAAACTTGGCAAAAACGGGCGATGGCAAGACTGGGTTTAGTGGGACCTGGTTTAATGATCTGTACCGGGGACGTCACCCCCCGTCCCATTCATTCCACTTCCCGAGCCGGAATTGCCGTCACCCGATAAGCACCACCTGCGGCAGACATGGTTTAGTGATTCCAATCCATATTTGGGGCTTCCGGGCCCAATCACTAACTGGCTCCCCTCAGCTGGGGGTTCTGGCTACACCCGACAACGGCCAGGGGGCTTCTGATGAGTCCCGCCGCCTTCTGGGAAGGCGTGTTGCTTCTCACTCCCCCTCATGGCGCGCCGCCGATCAATGCTGTGGACGGGGTGAATCGGGGACGCACTGGCCTGGGCAACTGTAACCCTGGGGCACTCAGGCCTTGCAGAATCTTGCAAGATCCTGCAGGATCCCGCGGGATCCTGCGCGCTAACACAGGTCAGTGCAACCCTGGCTCTTCAGGATCATGCAAGGTCTGGGGCCCTAACTGGCCCACGTTTGCATCTGCCCCCGTCTCTTGAGTTCGGTCGGGCATGTCCTCCTAAAGGCGGATGTGAAAAGAAAAACAGAGCATGGCCAAACAACAATCAAACAGAGTCAAAGGAACACGAACAATCGCCACCAGAGACTGCTTGTCCACTGCTCTCGGGGATTCCTCCTGTAGAGGGACATGCCCGACTGAACCCTTAGAGGAGGAGGAGACGGAGGAGGAGGAGGAAGAAGAGGAGGAGGAGGAGGAGGAAGAGGAGGAGGAGGAGGAGGAGATGGCGGAGGAGGAGGAGATGGAGGAGGAGGAGGAGGAGGAGGAGGAGGAGGCCCCGAGCGATTCCTCCAGGTCCATGCCCGTCTTGTCCTGCAGCCTCTCGGCGCTCGCCCTGCCCGCGTCGACCGCGCCCAGCGCGCGGGGGAAGGCCGCCACCAGCCGCTCCTTGACGTCCCGCAGGTCCGCGCCGTGGAACAGGGCCTCGGTGGGGGCAGCCGGCCCCGCGGGAGGATGATGAATTGGAGGAGGAGGAGGAGGAATTGGTGGAGGAGGAAGAGGAGGAGGAGGAAAAGGAGGAGAATTCGGAGGAGGAGGAAGAGGAGGAGGAGGAGGAGGAGGAGGAGGAGGAGGAGAAGGAGGAGGAGGAGGAAGGACAGGAGGAGGAGGAGGAGGAGGAGGAGGAAGAGGAGGAGGTGGAGGAGAAAAAGGAGGAGGAGGAGGCCTCCCATATGGGGTCCGAGCAGAGCGAGTCAGAGGGTCTCGCCGCATCGGCGACGCATCGACGATGCCTCGCTGATGCATCGGCACTGCGGCGGCGATGCGCTGGCGGCGTCGGCGATGCATCGACGACGTCGGGGTGGAGAACCTTGGGCCCCACATCGAGCCGCATCGCCGATGCATCGCCGATGCGGCGCGATCCTCCGACCCCATCTACTCCGACCCCATCGTAGAGTCCTGGAGGGGAGGGAAAGACCGAGACCCAGAGATCCAACGCATGGGGAAACCAAGATGGTCGATGCGCCAGTTGCTCGGAACGCACGCAAGTTTAGGAGCCAACGAAGGACGTACGCGCACAAACCACCGTCCGATAAGAATTACCCCCCCTTTAACGATTGAGAGTTGACAGCCCAGGCCAATACAGGCTTGGTCAGGGAAAATGCGCGGCAAAGCCGAATTTGATTATCGCGGGAAAAAATGCGAATCGAAGTTGCTTACTTTTTATTTTGAATAGAACAGAATCCTAAGGATTCCGATTGATTTCCAAGGAATCATATGGATGTCCTAGAGAGTCCAATGGATTCCTTTTTGGATTCCATTGGATTTCCTAAGGCATCTGATGGATGTCCTCAGGAATCCGATGGGTTTCCTGTGGGGTTGTAAGGCAATCTCATCAAATTCATAGAGAATCCTGTGAATGTCCTGCGGGATCTCATTGATTCCCCCGGGAATTATATAGATTGCCTTCGAAAAGCCATCGCATTCCTAGAAAATAACATCCAGGACTCCTACGAAAATCCATGATTTCCTTTGGATTCCTATGGATGTCCAAAGGGATTCTACAGATGTCCATCGGATCCCTACGGATTTCCACCGGCAGCCTATGGATGCCCATAGAAATCAGACAGATGTCCTTTGGATTCCGATGGAAATCCGCCAGGATTCTATGGATTTCCATACTATTCATGTAGATGTGCTTAGGGTTCCTATTGATGTTCTAACGAATCCGACGGATTTCCGCAGGAATGCTGGATTTCCTTGGGAATCCTTTGGGCTTCCATAGGACTCCAATGGACTTCGTCGGGAATCCCATGCATGTCCGAAGGAATCTTATGAATTTCCGGAGGAATGCAAAAGATGGCGTTGATATTCCTGTGGGTATCCTTGGGAACCCAATGGGTTTTCATTGGGTTCCCATGGGTGTCCGAAGGAATCCGATTGATTTCCTAAAAAGAATCACATGGAATTCCCGAAGAATGCAACAGATGTCCTTGAGATTCCTATGGGTATCCTTCGGAGTCCAATGGATTTGCATAGGATTCCCATGCATTTCCGAAGGAATCCTATTGATTTTCAAAAAAAAATAGATGGACTTCCGCAGGAAACCCATGGAATGTCGACTGAATCCTACGGATATCCTAAGGAGTCCTACGGATTCCATGAGATCCCGATGGATTCCCGAAGGATTTCGATGGATGTTATCAATTATTCGTATGAATTCAGGATCAGCTTGATCATCAACATCGTCATCATCTCCATCATTCTGCTGGGATCTCCGGGAAAACATGGATTATCCCGCCTGGACCCCGAACTTGATTATCCCCCGGAGGGATTATGCCGGCTCCAGCCCCCCCATCTGCGAGAACAGCCTCGTGTTAAGAACGTTCGCGCGACACGCACTTTCGGATCCGGCGTGGCTTTGTTCACGTGTACGTCCTTTTTTTCGCTCCTGACAAATAGACGACGCCGACACCACGGCAAACCCCACGGCAACCTCACCGCGTCGGAGGCGGAATTTGCCCTGGTGGCCGCGGCGCCCTCCACAAGACGCAAGGCCGCAAGTCGGAATGAACGGCGCGGCGACGGCGAGTTTCGCTGGCTCTAAAGGCCCCCGACGGGCCCCGGGACCGTCAAGAAATAACTCAGGCTGGAAAGCCGGTCCTGGGGAATGGGTCGAGACTTCGTGGTGTCTGTGTTTTGGAAAACCACGACGTCGGATCTTTAGGGACGTCTTGGAACCCATGCGACGGTGGACAGGTTTCGGGCTGCGTGCAGACAGCGCCCCACCGAGTTCAAGACACACACGCACATTGTTCCAATTGGGTCTCACGTTCCAGGGGGCCCCCCTCTTGTTCAACTCTCTGCACTGTTCCCTCGCCCATCCTCCCGCGCCTCCCGCCTCTCCTCCCGGCGCCTGGCAACAGCGGGGCCCCGGCTTTGCGCGGCTCTGCTGGGCGAGGCTGGAATGCTGTACTGTCGTCCGCGGTCCATCGCCGCTGGCTGGGACCGTCCCTCCTTCCTCCATTCCTCCTGCCCCTCCATCCTGCCCCTCCTGCCCCTTCATCCTTCCCTTCCTCCTTCATCCATTCCTCCTCCTTCATCCTTCCCTCCTGCCCCTTCATTCTTCTCTTCCTCCTGCCCCTTCATCCTTCCCTCCTGCCCCTTCATCCATTCCTCCTCCTTCCCCTCCACCGTGCCCCTGCATCCTGCTACGGCGTGGCCGGGCGCCCCCGGTCGCCGCACCGCCCCTCCCGTTGGCCCAGCCGGCGCCCATCCTCCCCGGTCGCCCCGCTTCGCTCGCTTCTGTCCGACCTCCGCTGCGTCACTTCCAGAGAAAACGCACCTGCAGTGAGGGACCTGCAGGAGCCTTGGCACCCGTGACACAGGCAAGACAGTCCACCGCCACATCGCACTAAGCGCCATAACCCATAACTAAAGCGATGAAACGAAACGCACACCCCTGCCAAAGATTCCCGTGGCAGGCTATAGTACCTCAAGTGGATGCGAAGTTGGACCAACCGAGAAATTGTAGCACAAAGAAATCGACGCGGACTCACGATCGAACACCTATGAAATCCCAGGCGTCGAGCGGGTCACCATCGTCTTCCGCCGAATTGGAAAGGGGGCCCAGCAACCGAGTCCAGCGACGGGCAGTCGGCATCGGACAGGTCGTCGGCGTCAAACACGGGGCCGAACAGACGGCCCTCCCCAGGATCAGGTGGAAGCGAAGAAGGCGCCCAAATGGTCGCCGACATGCCGCACTCGCACGCGACGTCCAGCCCCTCCTGCACTCTGATCTTCAGCATCTCGGTCCCATGCTCCGCGATGCCGCTCTCATTAGACATCCGGGAACCAAAACCACGTGCTCGACGTTCGGCCCCCCCTGCACGCTGGTCTCCGGCATCGCGGCTTCACGCCCCGCGGTGCCGTTCTCCTGCTGCGATGTGTTGGGGACCTCGTGCGCGACGTTCGGCCCCTCCTGCGCCTCCGTCACATGCCCCGTCATGCCGCGCTCCTCCGAGGACTCCTCCTGCTCCTCGCACTCCTCCACGGCGCTCTCGACCTCCACGTCGTGATCGGCCCGTGGCGCAGCGAGCAGCGCCTCCAGGAGCGCAGCGGCCTGCTGGGCCTGCGCGAACTCCTGCGCCGCTTCCGCCGCACAGCATCTGGAGACGTCGCCGTAGAGCTCGAGCCTGAAGTCCTCGAAGATCTCCGCCTTGAGCGCGCCTGGCGGGCTCGCGGGTAGGCGACCTCGCCTCAGCCCTGGGGGAGGGTTGTGCCTCGCCCGTCGCAAAAGGCCTCCTCCGCAGCGCTCAGCTCCTCCGCCCGGGCACCCAGAAGCCTCGCCGCGGCCAACTGCCTCTCCCATGCTGGGAAGCCGGTCCCCGAGCCGCCAGTGCTCCGCAACGGAGGTGCGCAACGCCGCCGTCCTGTACGCCAGGGCCGCCGCGCGCGAGAGGCCCAATTCCTGGCGCCGCTCGCGCCGCAGCCGGCGGGCGAGCGTTCGTGCGCTGGCGGCGGCCCCATACTCTGCCATGCACCGCGCCTGCGCTGCCATCGATTCCAACCTGCATGCACGCGTCCCGGCGCGCCGCGGGGGCGCGCGCCGTGCGCTGGCCTCCCGTGAGCCAGCTCGGTTGAGCCAAAATGGCGACGGACCCCCCCTTCGCTCCGTGGATCGCGGCCGGCTTGGGGCGGGCGCGGGTGCGTAGTCGTTGTCGAGGAGGCTGAGGAACACTTCGGGGCGCAGGGTGGACGACTGCAGCTCCTTGTTCCCGTCGTCTGTGACTACGACCTGAGATATGAGCGGGAGATGAGACGACCTGCGCTCCGAGGAGGCGAGGGAGGATGGGGACGACGAAGAGTGAATGATGCGGCAGATGAGGCACCACGGGAATGGGGTGAAAGGTGACTGCTATTCCTCCCCCAGAAGAAAAAATAGGAAGGTGAGGGAAATGAGGACGAAAAACGCGACGACGGGGAGGAGCAGGGCGACCAGTGTAAACCCAAGAATCACCAAAGATGTTGGAATAACCCCCCCCCAAACTCCATCATCAAAGGCCCCTACAACGGTTCATTTCCACAGAAGGACCTGCCTCGTTGGAAGAGAACGTTTTGAAGACCCTGAGCCATGCCAAAATATTGTCCTCGGGATTCCAACGCCACGGGTCGACCTGACTGTAGCGTCTTGACAACCCTGAATCGCGACAAAACGCCATTCCTGGGACTTCAACACAGCGAGTCATCGTAACTGTTGCGCCCTCATAATCGTGAGCCCTTCCGGAACGCCATTTCTGGTTCGTGAATCATGGGGCTCGTGAAACTCTTGTAAGATTTTTTAACGAATGGACGTGGCGCTAAAACAGGAACCACATGTTGAAAAAGGACCGCTCTCAATCCGTGAAGCTCTTGCAATTCTAAAAATCGAAAATGCACGGCGCTAAGGCGAGAGCCACATTTTGAAAACGACCCTCCGGCCCGCCCTCCATCTGTGACGCTGTTGCCAATGTTGTGCTTCAGGGTCATCAGTGGTGAGGAAATAGCAAGCGAAACGCCCCAGCCGCCCCCGAAAAACTAGCCTCGGGATGCGACAGGGAAACGTTATTTGTAAGGAAAAAAGTTGATGATGAGGAGGGGGGAAGCAACACCATGACCGAGAGAGACATTACAAGGACGGGTGCGAGGAGGAGGAGGCGCAATATCACTATTCAGAATAGCGGGATCGAAAAGGAGGGGGGCCACACAATAATACGCCGAATCGGCATATGCAAAAGATGTGGGCGACAAACACGTGTATATATACAGACAGACGTACACCAGACGATGAACATCGACCACGGGGACAAGGAACAACGGCGGAGAAGAAAAAGGGCTATCTAGCTAATGTCCGATGGCTGTGCCACTTTGTTGCCGTGGTTGGCCCGCAATGGTTGTCCCGTTTGTTTTCTGGTTGTTGTCCCGCTGTGGTTGTCCTACGGTCGGGGCCTCGCCGCGGTTGCCCTACACTTGTTACGAGGATAGATACATAGTGACCGATAGAGAGATCATGGGACCGATACGTATATTGATCAAACTAATGACAGATTGTGCAACCAATACATAATAACAGCGACGCACACACATTTACATACGCACACACACACACATCTATATATACATATATATATGTGTGTATAACATATATATAATTATAATTATATATTGTATAATCTATATGTATAGAGATCCATGTGAATGATACAGAACATAAAATATCCCCCACCGTGCCTCTGTGCACGGAGAGGGCGTGTCCGCAGGTCCTTTGCCCAATCCCCTGAGCCTCAGTCGCCAGTACTGAAGAGTCAATCATGAGCCTGGACTCTGCATTCCCAAATCTCCCAAAACTTGACGCGGTTCTCCTGGTGTTCCCGGCATCTTGCCGCATGACCTTTCCGGGCCCGAGAGGGCGTCCGGACGGGCCAGGAAGGCCCAAACAGGCCCTCAAGACGGTCCAAGATGATTCCGAGACGCCCACTGATCGCTCCAAGACGTCCAGGATGGCCCAAAGACTCTCAAAAAGCCATCAAGGCGTTCCAGGAGGCCTCCAAGATGCCGCACAAGAGAGCCCCGAGAGGCAAAAACCATTGATTCCCCATGGGTTATTGACCGATGTTGGCCTTCTTGCCTTTTCGGCGCTTCGACGCTCCAAGTCGGCCCAAGAGGCCCCCAGAACCGGCCCAAGACCGCCCAAGAGGCTCCCAAGCTGGCCCGAAGACGGCCCAAAACGGCGCAAAAGGCGTCCAAGACGGCCCAACACGGCCCCAAGACTGCCCCACGAGGGGCCCAAGAAAGGGACCACGAACCGAAACTTTGAACCAGGAGGCCCCACGAAAGTCAGAAGAAACCCCAAGAGGCCCAAGAGGGCTGCAAGAGGCTCCCAAGAGGCCGAAAAAAGGCCCCAAGAGGTTCCAAAAAGGCCCAACAGAGGCCCCCCAAAGGCCCCAGAAGTTGTCCGAACTGTCTCTTAGGAGGCCCTCGAGAGGCCTCCAACGAGATCCCAACGAACATCCAATTCATAGCCGTCATACCCACAATCCAGGCACGGCGGCTGGATGGGCCAGAAACCACCATGTCGCCACCAAAAACAACATCGAAACGAACACATTGATGATTCAATTTAGCTCGACCTGCAAATCTACAAACAGTTTGACACGCAAGCTGATGGGGATACCGATATATCGGTGATAGGAACGGTAAGTTTGTAGATCGAAAACATAGTCGTATCGATGAACACTGCGGCTCTCATCGTACTCCAAAATCGCGAGGTTGATCGGTGTCGATGTCGACACATACATTTTTGTTCCATCCATAACGATACGTACATTTGATCGGTGTGAAGTTGGCTGGGCCGATGAGAAGTTATACGCCGATGGAAAATTATGACGATATTCCGGTATGCCGTGCGATCGGTGGATCGGCTGCGAGACGGGCATATAATGTTGTCAATGTGTGGATAATGGGACTGCTTGGCGCATTGATCGCCCAAGTGGTATATCGATGGTGAAGCAAAGGGATCTGTCAATATAATAGAGCTGAGATCGAGAGACACTGTTGATGCGTGTGTGTGTGATCGTGTGTGTGTGCGTATGTGTGCTTAGCCCGCAAGAACCCTAAGCAATGTTTATATATAAAAACTGTATATTGCCAGTGGTAAATCCATGCGGAACGCCTACGGTGTGCAACATGCGTGATGCAATCCGTGTGGTGTGCAAGTTATACGTTGGAACCCATGCTGCGCAACATATGTGATGCAATATACGTGGCGCAATCTACGTGGTGCAAAGTGTATGCGGTGCAACCGACGCTATGCAATCTAAGTGGTGGATTCGATTTTTTACCAACGAAGTGACGCATTCCATGCTCTTGCAAACATCCCACTCGTCCCAAGTCGGTTTACAAAACACATGTGGTGGCGATTGCGATGAATGCATGGCGTTGGCCTGTCCACCCCTGCGACCGCGCCAGCCCACGCACGCGCGCGCAGCGGCCAGCTAGTTTGGCGCGACAGACGCGGCAACGGTGGTTGGGCACATCCCAGCGGGCTCAGTGCGAGTCGGCGGCTTGGGCGGGCGCGGTATCATGGCAACGTCGACAACACGATGATGATAGTAGGGGTGCTGGTGACGACGCTGACAACGACGACGGCACGGCCAGTGACGGCCCCGATGCTGATCACGCCGACGACGATGACGGCGTCCTCGCGTCCGTGGTGAAAGTTTTGGAAAGAGTTCGACATGCGCGAGCAGCCGGCGCGCGAGTGGCCCGCATGGTATTATTTGAAACGGATCGTGAACCCACAGCACGCGCGCAAAAGCGCTCGAATGATTTCGGCATGTGGCGCTAGAGGCCAGCGGACAGGATAGGGCAAGGCCGCGCATTGACGGCGCATCGGCAGAACATGACAAATTGCAAAAGCCATGGAAAACCAAGCGAAGACCATTCCGCGCTGAATACAAGCGCGCCGGAGCGCAGCCACTGTTTCTTACCATGGTGGGCGGCGAGACGAACTACGCCAGCACAGCGGCAGGCAGGAGGGAGGGGAGGAACGAGGGGGAGGGGGGACGAGGGTGGGAAGGGGAAAAAGAAAGCGAACCCTGGCATATAAACTTGCAAACGCAATAGCGTCGAACAGCTGCCTCCTGCTGCGAACTGGGAAGGTTCAACAGACTATGTAATATATCGGCTTCCTCCCCTGCTAAGCTCTAAGCGCGCTTGCATATGATCCGCGGACTGCAAGCGGGGTCTTCCGCGCCTTCGAGGTGCAGGCCACTCCCTGGGTCATATGCCGTGGACACGGGTTTCCTGAAACACCATGCGCCTGGGCTGAGATTTCGGGCCGGCTCTTGCCAACTTGCAATAATCATCTACTTGTTTTTGCAATATATCAAATGACAAGACGGGCGCCGACGAACGACCTCACTTCTGCATTGCTCACTCTGGAAATGAAGGCCGGAAAGATTTTGCGAAACCTCCGAAAGCCGCGATTGGAACCCATCCAGCCTGTCCCGGTCGGCAGCAAGAAACACGCACGATCCCGGATCCCAGGCCATAGACCAACTTGAAGAAAGTACGCGCTTTCAAAATCTGTATCTTCCGTTGCAGGGTTGCGTTCGCGTCTCTCCATACACCACTGAGCTGTTGAAAATCACTTCTGGCTTCCACCAGGCGTCTTGTCAACACTGGTTTGCGATTCCCGTCCACGCTTATAAAGCTGAATGGGTTACCCACCAGGCCCGTGAGTAACTCATGAATACCTAATACATGGGAGTACGGTCTCACCTTCATTGAGCTCCAGGCCGAATGTTTTTCCAACCTTGGCCACGGTGTTCAGGTGATGTTGGAGGCGTTCCCCATCAATTACCAACATTGTGTCGTCAACGTGCAAACTATTCTTTGTGATGGCGCTAGGTTTCTGGCATCGTTCCGGCAGGTCTGTCTTCAATTCGGCGTCCGCGGCTTCCATCAAAGTCGGCATCACGATGACGAACGAAATCAGTGATAGCGGGCAGCCCCTGCGTTCTGTGGTCGCTGAAAGGATTTTGCATGTCCGTCGTTGACAGCAAACTTACGCGCTGTGCTTGTTGCCCCAACCATATCAACCATAGGCACGGGACTCCCACATTGACGTAAGGCATGCAATAAAACCCTTAGGCTTAGTACGGTCAAAAGCTTTGCTCTAATCAAGCAATCATATTTACAACTCGTCATACTTATCCTCCTGCGTAGCGTCGGTAAGTCGACGAGCCAAGAATAGAACATCTGCTGTGCCGCGTCCTGGTCTGAAACCATACTCCAGGTCTCTCAATAAGCGTAGGGGGTTGGATCGCGTGGGGGGGGTGGGAAATCGCTGTCCTTCGGGTGGCGTGGGGGGGTAGGGGAGCGAGAGGGTGTGGGTTTGGGGCGCGTGGGGGGGCGGGCAAGGGGCGTCGGACAGGTTGGCACGGGGAGGGTGTTTTTTGAAGGATGTGGAGTACTGTGACTCCCGCAGGCGCTGTAATACTCCTCCTGTCTTGAGGCTATGCAGGAAAATGCTCGCCAGTACTTTGCACTCAACGGTCAAGGGAGAAATAGGGCGATAAGTGTGTGGTTGTGACGTGTCTCCTTTTTGTTTGGAAACTGTCACAATCGAAGGCTCTCGCCGTAATTGTGGAACTTGTTCCTGTTGCCAGCAACTGCCGCAGAGCTCTCTGCTTATGTCCAAGGCGTAGTTGCCTGACCATTCAACTTGCCACAAAGCTGGAGGAACGCCATCATTCCGCCGAACCTTGACTACCTGGCGTAATTCTTCCAGCGTGACGGGTTCAATATCTTCGTGTAGATGTGCCGCATGGCTTTCAGAATCAAGGCATTGCTCTAAGTGTGGTCACTTCTAAGTTGCTCCCGCAGGCCTGAATACGGAGGAAATCTTGAGCGAAAGCCTCATGTGTGTGGGTGAGTCGCGGAGGAGTCTCGAGCGGGACCTCCTCCTTACGTGGCCCGAGCTTCATGTTTGAATCCGCACTGATCATCACAATGTTGTAACTGTCGTCGCCTTTAGGATGAGGAGGAGGAGGAGAAGGAAGTGGGGGAGGAGGAGGAAGAGAAGGAGCAAGAGAAGGAGTGGGTCGTGCAGAGTCCTTCGGGCTGCACGTATCCATTGACGTATCCGTTGAAGGTACAGGGGAGGAGGTGAGGAGAAGGAGGAGGAGGACGAGGAGGAGGAGGACGAGGAGAAGGAAAAGGAAAGAGGATGATGAAAAGAAGGATGATGATGATGATGATGAGGAGGAGGAGGAGGAGGAGGAGGAGGAGGAGGAGGAGCCAGCTGTCGGAGTTTTAGGGAGCCGGGCTGCACATTCGCCACTGCTTCTCCCTCCTCCGGACGTGCACCGACGGGACTCGACGCGGTCGTCGCGGAGGCACTGGGCTGACTTGTGGGGCAACCGTTGCAGGAGGACCAGAAGGAGCAGCGATTCGATCTTGCACTTAGTCGACGGAGGCCCGGGCCTCATGTCTGTCGACAGAGTGGCCACGGCCGCTTTCCTCGGAAGCTGGGCGCTTACGTTGTAAAGCATGGTCCAAACCTTGGGAGAGGCCTCATGGGAGGGGTCCGCAACGCGCTGCGCGCCTGTGGCCGGCGCACTTGCCAAGGCGGAGGGCTGTCTCCACGCCCAGGGTCGCGGCCAAATCACTCGCCCCGATTGGGTGGAGTGTCTCGCAGAGCCGCAGCAGAAGAAGCAGAAGGCGTGGGCTGCAGCCTTGGGGGAGGCCGCCAAAGCCCAATTGCTCGCAAGCCTGGTCGAGGACGAACGGGTCGACCTGTGGTCGGCTGGCGGCCCGGGTGCCTGGGGGGTCCTGGAACAATCCATTCACCGCGAGGAACTTCCGCCGGCGCTCATGCCCGAGGACCATTTCCAGATGGCGCTCGCGGACAGACTCCGCATGCCCTTCAGCGCGCCTGGTACCACGTGCCAGCACGGCCGGGCGGACGGGACAGCATGTGGTGGTGAGCTCATGGCCGCTCGCGCCAAGAACGCCCACGAATGCCCATGCGGTCCGGCCCGCAACCGGCGGCACAATGGCGTGCGGGATTGCTGCAGCTCCAATCACCAGAAGATGACCGGCTCCACTCCGGTCACCGAGAGCGCGCCTTGGCCTGGGACCGCGTGGACGCGACAGGGGTGCTGGAGGAGGCGAGGCTGGACGCGGCCACCCGGGACGCCATCACGGGACAGCCTGTGTTCTTGGATGTTAGCGTGACCTGCGCACACAGCGACGACCTGTCGCGCCAGCAGGCCCGCGCTGGCCGAGGTGGGCCTGTGGACGCCAAGCACGTGCGATCCCCGTCGCACGGAGGGAAGCTGGTCCCTGTCGTCTTTGAAGCTGGCGGGTGGCTTGGTGCAGAGACTGTGGCGTACGTGCGGTCCTGGGCGCGCGACATGGCCCCAGCCCGTCGGACGGAGGTCATCCGTTTCTCGGGAGCGGCCAAGAGGGGGGTGTTCAAGGGGGGGGGTGCAAATCATGACCGGCGGCACGTGCGCGGCCCAGCGGGGGGGCCAGGGACGTAATGAAACAAGAAGAGGCGCCATGAAATCTGGGGAACTACCATGGCCCACGCCATGATATCCACCCCCTCTTTGCCGCCCCCGAATTTCGCCTGGCAGCGGCTCCGCACGCATCACCAGACCGGGAACGCCGAACTGCTGCTCAGCCTGCTGGGCCAGTGAAGGACCTCGCGGCCTCGCGGCCGAGGCGACGCACCGCCGCCGAGCCGAACGGCCGCGGCCTGGGCCGCTACTTCTGTTACTGCCACTACGTAGCCCTACCACAACCGCAACCACGAGAGCCCAGGAGGCTCCCAGGAGGCCGCAAGAATGACCTAAGAAACTTCCAAGAGGTCTCCTCATTATTCTCCTCATCCTCCTTTCTCCTCCCTTCCCTCAGCCTCCGCTTCCACAACGGCTGGGGGAACGAATGTTCCAATAGCGTGGCCAAACATTTTGGCCACATAGTCGTATCCCAAAAGGCAGATGGATGCGGTGATTCGCCGTAGGAGTCTTCGATTCGTCCCCCCCCCCGCCCCCTCATGTGGCCTGCCACAAGGGTGCACGGCGTGCCAAGCAGATGGTTGATGGTCCTTTGGGAAATTTCTGGTGGGCCTGTGGCCGATCCCGCCGGCACGGAACGAAGACCCGTAAACTTCCCAGGTCGTCGGTCTTCCCGCTCCAAGACGGTGAAGATGGCCGCCGAGAGGCTTCCAAGACGCTTACGATGGCTGCAAGAAAGCCCTCGATTGCCGCAAGATATCTCCAAGAGTGCACAAGATGCACACAAGAAGGCCCAATATGGCCCCGAGGTAGCAAAAGACAGCCCGAGAGGCCCCCAGGAGGCCTCCGAGAGAATCGCAAGAGAAGCCCGAAGAGATCGTTTCATATCTTCTTCTCCTGTCTCCACTATGTGTTCCCCAAAGCGTGTTCACATGGCTGGGTGAACACATGATCCGCTAGCTTGGCCGAGCTTTGGCCCCAACGTTCGGCCACATGGGCGCTTCCAAAAGGCAAAGGGGCGACAGTGATTCGCCGTAGGTATCCACGATAACAACAAGCATAGCGGTAACAGGTAGATGGGTACATGGTGGGAACAATAATTCGTGATATCGACATACTGATCGGACCCATGTGATAGATACGCACATTGCCAATCTTATCAGAAGCCAACTGCAATTCGAAAGGGTAGCCCTGTCGGTAATGCAAAAAGGACATGACGTAGAGAAAGAGGGGCTGGACAGTGCGTCGCAAAGACTCCTGCCTTCTTGTAGGCACACTGGTTGAAAATTGCGGTCAGCCTCGGATGGCGCAACGAGGGCGGGGAAGACTTCGAGAAGTCAATGTGTTATTCGTCGTCGCTCGTTGTCATGCTCATTGCCATCGTTGTACTACACCATTGCCATCGTCGCCAGCATCCACCATATACGAATAACAACATGCGGTATCATTTCGCGGAGGTCTGGGCGGATTTCTCGGATCGGCGCTGGACCCCAGACCCCCCTCCCTGGCGCGCGGAGCGCGTCAGGGGCGGCGCTGGATGCGTCGCCAAAGAGGCCCAACGCCAATCCAGGAAATCCGCGCGCTCCTGCGGGAAATTATGGTTATGCAGTGCTTGCTGAAGTTTATCAACACATGACAGTAGGCATCTTACGGGGTGCACCCTGCGGTGTGCAACTGATGGTAAGTATCGCTTGGTGTGCACCCTGGGGCGAACAACTTGTGGGATACAACCTGTATGGGGTTCAACTCACTTGCTTCACTGCACCAAATGCTACCGCACTTGCACTCCACGAGGCGCATCCGTCCATAAAATGTGGGGGCGCGACCTGCGGCGCAGGCGCAGGAACAGCCCGGGGAGCACCCTACAGGGCCACCGGATAACTGCGGCGACGGCCAAATTCGCCACAGGCGAATACCCTTGGCCTTTTTATCTGGCCGTCGCCAGAGCAGCCTCCGCGTGCAGCCGCCCGCCGCCGCCGCGCACACAGCCTCTGCGTGCCGACGGGCGCAGGGCACGCAGAGCGTGCCGCGCTGCATCGAGCCCGAGCTCCACTGCCGCCAGGCCCGATGGGCTCAGAGGCACCAGCCGGGGACAGCCGTGGACAGGGCCGAAAGACGGACACATCGGCATAAACTGACGAACCAGCACCACACACCCATACCCATAGGGGGATCGGAGAGGGCTACGGGTGCGTGTGGTCGGATGGGGGTCCCCGCTCGAACGGGAGCGTTCCCCAGGGTCCGACAACCCGCGCCCATACCCATAGCCAGTCCTCCTCCCAACGACCCCCCTATGGGTATGGGTGCGTGCTGTTCGTTCGTCATAAACGGGGCACGGGACCGAGCCGCGCCCCATCGGCTCCAGGCCCCACCGAAGGGGCATCGGCGGGGGCACGGGGCCGGGTCGGGGACTGCTGGGGACGGAGGCCGAGTGGAGGTCGCCGAGCGGCAGCGAGGAGCACGGGACCAGGAATGGGGGGGCAGTCGGGGACGAGGGCGATTCGGAGATCGGCGGCGGCTGGGACGCGGGGCCAGAGAGCCAGGGCACGGGGCCGAGCCAGCGGCGGGGACGAGCCACAGAGGCCGAACCTGCGGCGCGGAGCCGATCCAGGGGCCAATCGACGGGAATCGGCGAGAGCCGAAGAGGCAATGCGGTGACTCATTTGTCGCAACCATCCCATGGTGCTGAGTCTTCGTTTTGAAAAGGCAGCGGCCCGCTTATCCTTTCTCTCCTCCTCCTCCTCGACCTCCTGCCATCCCTTGCCTCTGCCATACGCATGTACCTGTGTCGGCACACCCCTCACACGCTTCGTGGCCCCACAGGGAGCTCCACCGAAGGCTCCAATGGCAGCGCCCACATGGTACCACCGCTCCCAATTCGGCACACCCCTCACACGTGTCGTGGTCCTAGGGAGCTCCACCTGAGACCCCAGCGGGAGCGCCCGCATGGCACCACCGCGCCAATTTCGGCACATCCCTCTCACGATTCGCGGCACCATAGGGAGCTCCACCTAAAGACCTAGTGGCAACGTCTGCATGGCTCAACCGACCCCGTCTCGGCAAACCCCTCAAACGGTTTGTGGCCCCATAGGCAGCTACGTCTAAGGCCCCGATGGCAGCATCCGCATGGCACTGCCGTGCCCATTTTGGCACACCCCTCACACGCTTCGCGGCCCCATGGGGAGCTCGGCCGAAGGCCTCAGTGTCAGCGCCCGCATTGCAACACCGTGCCGATTCGGCACACCCCTCACACGTTTCGTGGCCCCATATGGAGCTCCACCTAAGGCTCCAATGGTAACGCCCCCATGGCACCACCGCACCTGTCTCGGACCACTCCTCGCACGCTTCGTGGCCTCATGGGGGTCCTACCGACTGCCTTGCTGGCAACGCCCGCGGGTCACCGCCGCGCCAAACTCGGCACACCCCTCACGCATGTCGTGACCCAACAGGAAGGCGGTCGGTACACCCAACACGGCCATCACACCTGCATATGGTTGGACCTGTCGCCATGGCAAATTTCGACGCGTTCGCTCGACTGCTCGCCCGTCCCGCCATTCGAACAATCGAGGCCTCTATCGCGCAAGTGCTTGAAGGCTCGGGCTTTCCCAGTGGCTGGGATGATGCACTTTGGTAAGAGGATGTCACGGCGCGTATAATTATTTCTCCCTCGTGGTTGGAGAAAAGCATGCACCACAACAGGTGGACTCGGTAGTCAAACCCAGACCAGTTACTGATTTGGCACTGGTAACATAAATCCATTACTGGATGATTTATACGGACGTTTGAGATCTTGTGTACCACAGAAAGGTTGAATCAACTTTTCGCCAGGGTGTCAGACTTGACAAGAAGGCCCGTACTCGTCGCTTTTGAAGCCGCGACTGCAAGGTATTCTGCACATGCAGATCGGTATGTCGAGACAGACTTCATATCGCATCACCCCAAGGCCTGTTCGAAAGCTACTCAGAGGAGGTCCTTGACATTTACTTTTTCTCCGACATGCGGTCCCACAACGCTTTCGACATGGCATCGCCTGCACTGGCATGAATTCCAAGTTAAGCCCGATCAACAATCTGTCAGCGACCTGAAGCCCCAGCGCTTGTGTGTCAGACTTTTGGGCAACATGAAGCACGTTTGCACTGTCAGCATCCTTAGCCAGCGTTCCTGTGTAAACGTGCTGCGCCACAGACTCCACCACAGACGGCTCAATGCTTTCAACATGTGATATGACTGGGGCTCCCTTGCGAATCTCTGTTTCCCTATTCTCGCAAAGACCAGACTTGGAGAAACAAGTGATACCTGGTGAACAAGGATATCAATACTACCGCATTTCATGATTGCATCTGTGAGCGTCCTGTCCTTCTGCATCTTCGAAGTCACATCTGCTGCGCTTGTGCGCTTCCGCTTTGTACACGGCCTCGCTAAGCATTCCATCCCTGGGTCGCCCCACCCCAGAATGATGAGCAACTGGTGATCATCCCCCAGAGCGCTGAGGGGCCCAAGGGCACTGGACCTGGCAGCGACAGACAGCTCACTAAAGTTCTTCAAAGTCAAAAATGGTATGTCTTGGGACAGCGCCAAAACAAACCCTGTCGGCGTGTGGAAGACGCTGTGCTGCTTGACTCGACGTCGTCATCGTCGTCGTCGTTGCGACGTTGGCGTTGGCGTCGGCGTCGGCGTCGGCATCGTCGTCGTCGTCGTCGTCGTCGTCGTCGTCGTCCTTGTCGTCGTCGCCATCGCCGTCGCGTTTTGCCTCCTTTTCCCTAGTCCCGTCGCCGCTCCCCCACCTTTCACGGAACCCTCTTCCTCAAGCGAGCCAACCAAATCGAAACGAGCGCGAAACTGAGCAACGTCATAGTTGAGTCGAAAGGAATCCCCTTCCCTCTGATCCCTTGTCCCCCGGGGGGGGGGTTGGAAGGGAGGGGTCCCAAAAAGGATCTTGGAGGTGGTTCCGTGGGGTGTCCCGGGTCAGAATGCCATACTCCCCTGGGAGGTCCTGGGGCCCAAAAACGGTCCAAGAGGGCTCCGAATCCCCGAACGATCGGTCTAAGGCACCAAGGATGGCCTCCTGGCAGCCCAAGCGGCTGCCGAGACGCTCGAAGCCTCCATGAGCACTTCAAGAGGGCCCCAGCAGGCAAAACTCAGTGATTTTCTTGCGTTTTCGTGGAAGGTTCAAGCGTTCTCGCCTCGTCGGCTTCTCGACGCCCTAAGACGGTCCAAGATGCCACCAAGATCGGAACAGGAGGCCCCCAAGAGGTTTCCAAGACGGCCCCAGAACGACCCAAGAGGGCCCCAAGACGGCGCCGACGCCGCCGTTGTGGTCGTCGTCCCCCTTCAGGGTCGGTGGCACCGGCCGTAAGGTCTTCCCAATGACATGCCTTGGGACAACAACAATAACAAATGTTGGATACTCAATTTCGATACTGAACTTTGCATCAAGATGGCTACTGTTCAGAAGCTTAAGAACCACTCGACCGGGCCAAAGTTCATCACTACTCCACTTCTCCAATCGCCGGTCTGTCTGGAACTACGTTCCAAATGTTTAGTTCCATGACTTCAGCACCTGCGTACGTCAAAGAACGAACAACTTGGAAAGCAACACAACACATCTTGAACCAACATTGCTTGATCCAACGGCTGAGGCAACGCGGTAACCCTTCATGATCCACACAATAGCACCTTCATTGCCAGCGCTGCGGGGGGTGCTGTTGCGGTTGTACTTAGTGTCCCCCATAATTGTTTGATAGATCGCAAGCAAAAGCTTTCACAACCATCTCAAAGTTCGAACCAAAACGCAATGTCCGCAGCATCAACCGATGGCCATGGCGGCCAAAGTTCTTCCTGTCAAGTCCTGTATGACCTAGCGAGGTGGCATCACTGCATCCGTTCGGCGAGGTTCCAAGTTTGACAGTCTCAGGGGCTCTATCTAGAACCTCTGTGGTTCAAGAGCTACGCGAAAATTCCAAAGCTTGGCCATGCGAGATAGTGGGCGTATCAGGTTCATTCAACCGCATGGAACTCAAATCGACTAAGCGGAAATGGTCGACATGCTCGGATACATGGGAACTTCCCCACGTGTAATATAATTGAGCGTCATGCCGTGCCCCACTCCAACCGCGCGCTTCGAAGAAGAAGTTTTCCCGGGCAGATTGCCAGGCCCACCTCGATCATCCTCCGACCCAAGCTCGCCAAGAGTGAGAGGGCATGTGAGATGCTTGGCGGTCGCAGTCGCTCGACTGTCCTGTCGCCTCGTTCCTGACCTTCGCCTGGGGCTCCCCTTGCGATTGTGTTAGAGGGAAGCCAACACACCCGCATAATGAACACCTCGACGAGCGAAGCCTTTAGTAAACGCGCGTAGGGAAGGGATCGAACAGGGCAGGGCTGCGTGGTAAACCCCCAAACCTGTTTAGTAAACGCCGGTTATGGTGTCGGCGTGTTGTGTTTCATCCCTCGATGCCTAGATAAACAAGGACACGTTTCGCTGGCCCCCCGTCGCTCCCCGGGCATCCGAAATCAAGTCTTCAACCACCTCGCGGGCCCCACAGGACCCCCCGCATGACTCTCAACCTTCTCTTGCCATCGTTCGGACGTCCATTACACTTGTATGTTTCTGCTTCGTGCGTGCTTGTCTGGCCAGATGACCTAGGATGCTCCTCGATAGTCCTTGCCGAAAAATGCACACGTCCGAGCGATGCCAAGTCCTCCCTCCCCCTCCTGCTCCATGCTACGCCCCAGGCCTGTCCACCTCCTCCTGGCTGAAGCCGTTGAGCTTCCTCAGCTCCGCCCTCTCCTCGGCGCCTCAGGGCTGGCGAGGTGGAGAATCGAATGGGGAAGGTTGGCAACGAGCGACCAGAGCTGGGGGCAACCAACCTTCTAAGATTGCAAGAAACCTCGGTCCCCGATTCTCGAATCCTCCGCCGTGCCTCACATGGCGCGCCGCCGCGAAAGACCATCGGCAGAGGCGCGCGACCCTTGGGTGGGGAACTTATCTCCACGGGAGGGATGGCGCCGCCGCCGCACGCCCCCCAGCCGAAGGGAGGACGTGGAGGAGGAGGAGGAGGAGGAGGAGGAGGACGTGGAGGAGGAGGAGGAGGAGGAGGAGGAGGAGGAGGAACACACAGAAAGTGTCAGAAGGTGCTCGGGACATGCTGTTTTCAGCGGCGTCCGCGTTTTCTTTTTCCTCCTCCTCCTCCTCCTCCTCCTCCTCCCCCTCCTTTTCCCTCTGCCCTCTGCGTGACGATTTCATCACACACACACACACCTCACGCGTTTCGTGGCCCCAGTGGGAGCTCCACCGAAGGCCCCAGTGGCAGCGCAAGCACGGCACCGCCGCGCCCACTTCGGCACACCCTCACATGCTTCGCGGCCCCATAGGGAACTCCACCGAAGGCCCCAGTGGCAGCGCCCGCATGGCTCCATTTTCGGCACATCCCTCACACACGTTTGGTGACCCCACAGTGAGCTCCACCGAAGACTCTACTCACAACCGCGGTAACCGCGACTGCATGTGTTTGGGTGCTTCGCCAGGATCTGCCACCGTGCGCTGACGCACGAGTTGGGGTGTCCTCAAATCCTTTGCCCAATCCCTTAAGCCTCAGTCCTCAATAATGAGGATCAAAAAGTCCAGGGTCCAAATTCTCAAATCTTCCAGGGCTCGTCGCGTGCCTCCTGGGACCAGTCGCGGCTTCCCGCGCGAATTATTTGTGACCAAGTGGGCTCCAAGACGAATCAAGAGTTCCCCAAGAGGCCCCCAACACGGTTCAATTGGGTCCCGAGTCGCCGAAAGATCGCTCCAAGACGCCAGAGATGGCCTCGAGACGGCCCAAGATGCCCCCAAGACGCCCCAAGAGGGCCCCAACAGGTCACAATCTGTGACCCCTCTGCGGACCCTCTTCTGCTTTTCTGCTTCCCGACGCTTCCAACCGGCCTCCGAGGCCCCCCAGAGCGCCCCGAGAGGCTTCCACGTGGGCCCCAAAACGGCCTAAGAGGGCCCCAAGACTGCCAGAGAGACGCCCAAGACGGCCCCAGAGGCCCCCAAGATGGATCCAAGATGGGGCCCAGATGGGGGGACCCAAACAAATATGTCGAGCCTTCGGCCCCGAGAGACCACCGGAAGGCCCCCCAAAGGCACCCAAGAGGCCTTCAAGAGGCCCTAAGAGGCCCCCAAGAGGCCTTCAAGAGGCCCTGAGATGCCCCCAAGTGGCTCCCACAAAACCCCAGGAGGCCCCCAAGAGGCCCTAAAACTGCCCCCACGATGCACCCGAGAGCGTTCCGAAGAGAACCGAAGAAGCATCCCCGAGAACTTTGACCCACAACCCAAGCACGGTGGCGGGATGGGCCGAAGCCCGCACGAGATTTACCCGTTTTCACAACGTGGCTCCCCAGAGGTCTGGACCCATTCCCAAGGACCGGCTTGTCATCCCTGGGTCGCTTTCGAACGGGCCCTGGGCCCGGCAAGACCTCCAGAGGCCAAAAGCGGCAGCAAAACTCCTGCCCGCCAGGACCGTTCCATTGGCACGTCCGCAGTGGTTACGGGGAACATGGGCACGATGCCCAGCAGCAGATGTTGCTGTCCAAAACCGACAGCGGCCGCTGCTGGGCCGGCGGGCTTGCATCTCAAATGGACGGCGCCTGCGGCGACACCGACAACGAGTCCTGCGCAAAGTGCGCAGTGAGCTGTCGCTCTTTGTATCCTCCTTTTCAGTAGCCATGTCTTGAAGGGGCCCAGGGACACACACGCATCAATACACATCAATACACACATCCATACACACAAATCCAAGGATTCCCCATATCTTTAATTTTTTTTGGATGTTCGTCTTCGTCCCCACTTCCCATAGTTCCCCATATGTTCGCCTCCTGATTTGTGTGTGTGTTTGTTTGTGTGATTCTCCTCCTGATTTATACCCTCCTTTTCCGTACCCGTTTTCCTATCTCCGAGGCTCCACGACGCGAGGACGCCAGGGCGGCCACAGAGGCACCCCGCGAGATCCCGACGGGCACCCCCACGAGCAGGCCATGTGCGATGGGGGGGGTGGCGAGCGGCGCAAGGAGCACCCCCGAGAGGCCATGGTGACGTGGCCGCTGGGCGCCACCGAATCGCAACATAGCATGCAGAAAGTCCACCCCGAGAATCACCACCCCGACGCGCGAGGCCTCTCGCAACCGCGCCCAAAGCAGGAATCGAACAGGGCAGGGCTGTTCAGTAAACGCCCAAGGGCCGTTCAATAAACGCCCATTGTCCAGTCCGGGTGGTGTTTCCTCCCTTGATCGGGGATGGACAGACCTCCCTTCAGTAAAACGTGGTGTAGTGAAAACGACCTCGGGCCCAAACCTGGCGGGCGCAGGCCTGGAAAATAACGGCCGCGGCGCCCTCTCGAGAACCGAAAACGGACAATTCACTAATCGACGTGTCAGGTAAAACAGGGCTAAGATCGGGATAAATCGCTCCAGAGCGTTCCGGAGCGCTCTCAGAGCGTTCCGGAACGCTCTGGAGCGGCCGCGGCGCCCAATACATCCTCCAAACCCGCCGATTCTCAGAGATTTCGAGTTATCCCGATCCGATTTTGTCCCGATCTTCGTGTCGTTTTATCCGGGTAGGAGGCCTGTCCACCCCCGACTCGACAGAGATCCGGCAGGCCACCTTGGTCTCGCTCACACGAGGAGGGGCCTCGAGCTCTCGCCGCCCGCGCCGAGCTCGTTTTTCTCTTTGGAGGCGAGGGGAGGGAGCGACGACCCTGCAGCCGAGCAGTTCGCCGCCCTGTCCCCCGCGGGCTTCAGGAATCTGGGAGGACAGGGTCGAACCTATCCTTAAGATTAACAAGCCAAAAGTCGACGACAATCTCAGGGATGCGCCCTCAGAAACGGCGGGAATCCCTAAGATCGGCATCGAGATGAGGCGATGCCAATCATGGGGATCGGGACATGCTCCAGGCTGGTGAAGGAAGGGAATCATGGAGGCACGGAGCGGCACGAGTGAACCCCGAGAGCGTATCGGCGCCAGGGGGGAGGATGAGGGAGGAGGAGGAGAAGGAGAAGGAGGAGGAGGAGGAGGAGGAGGATGGCGGAGGAGGAGGAGGAGGAGGAGGATGGCGGGGGGAGGGGGAGGGGGAGGGGGAGGAGGAGGAGAGGAGGAGGAGGAGGAGGAGGGAGGAGGAGAGGAGGAGGAGGAGGAGGAGGAGGAGGAGGAGGAGGAGGAACGTGTCGCGGCGGCCCCAGCGACGCGGTACGCCCTGCGAGCGGACAGCGTGTCGCTCCGCTCCGCGAAGCGGGAGGCCAGGAGAGGCGCGGACCGCGGATGCTCGGGGGCCAGTGCGTCGCTAGCCGGTCGCGCCGAAGCGTGGCTGGCCAGAACCAGCGGCACGACTCGTGGATAAGGGCGATCCTGCCAAGATGCGCGAGAGCTTTAATTCTTGCCCAACAACAGCAGAGGTGGTGGTGACTCTGGCGGGTGCGGGCCAATCGCGCAGCAGACTGGGTCGATCACGGACTTGACGATCGCTGCGGCCACGACTGGCGATCACACAAATAAAAGATGTTAGGCTCGTGACGAAGATAGCGCACGACGCGGATCACATTGAACCTCCCACTTGGATGCAAAGAACGCAGTCGCTACCACCGCGACCGCTCCAATGACCAATTCAACATCAGCGGCAGCAGCAACGCCACCACCTCACGCTCAACACACTCAACACACTGAAAGCATGGGACATCAGCGCGGCTGCTAACGCGTGGCTGACTGCGACGACCTCACCCCAGGAGGCCGACACCCCTGTGAACGCTCCTCTCTGATCATGAACTGTGAACGGGTGAACGGACAGCAACCTGGTCTGGACAAGGGCGGACAAGAGGAGGAGGGGAGGAGGAGGTGAAGGAATGGCGAATGGAGAAAAGGTGAACAAGGGAAGGCAGAACTGGGAGGGGCTCGAAGTCTACACCAAGTCGTCTGGCGGGACATGGAGCTGGGTGTGTATATATATATATATATATATACAAGACTGCATTGGCGCTGCGCGCCATGCACCTTGGTCCTTTGAGTTCTGCACGCAAGCGGAATGCGTGCGTGCGTACATGCGCGCATGCATGTATACACGCGCACACGCATGCCCGTTCCGTAAAAATGTCTAGGTGCATACACTATACTAACATTGTTGTATGTGTACAGCGTAAATATGTACATATCAATTTATGTGTGTGAGGGTATGCGCATGCATATGCAACTCGTACGGGGCATCCTCGGGCATTTTCGCTGCATGCCACGAGACCCTCAACGACTGGGTCACAATGTAAAATGTCACGGGAGCAAAATCCATGAATGTTGGCATTCGGAAACATCGTCGGGGTGTTTTCGGGGCCCTCGTGGGTCGTTTTGGCGCCTTCATGGGCCGCCCTGGGGCCTTCTTGGGCCGTCTTGGAGAGCTTGGGCCCGCTGGAGCCCCCTTTGGACCCACCTTGGGCACTTCCGGGGACCTCCCATGGTCCTTTTGGGTCTGTGCTGGGAGCCCTTGGGGGGCCTCTTGGTTCCATTATGGGCTGTCTTGGGGCTCTCGTGGGCGATCGTGGGGCCCGGCTCGGCCGTCTTGAAGCTTTCTAGAAGGCCTTTTGGAGCGTCTGGAGGCGATCTCGGGGGCTTCGAAACCGTCTTGAAAGCTGATGAAATCCGAAAGGCGAATATGTTTAAATTGTAAGATTTACAAAGGTGAATGGGACGATGTTTGTGCTTTGACGGCCCCTTGGAAAGCTTTTCGGGCTGCCTTGGGGGTCTTTATGTTGGCATTTGGAAACACCGCGTGGGTGTTTTCGGGGCCCTCCTGAGCCGTTTTGGCGCTTTCATGGGCCGTCCTGGGGCCCTTTGGACCCATCTTGGGCACTTACGGGGACCTCCCATGGCTCTTTTGGGTCTGTGCTGGGAGCCCTTGGGGGGCCTCTTGGTTCCATTATGGGCTGTCTTGGGGCTCTCGTGGGCGATCGTGGGGCCCGGCTCGGCCGTCTTGAAGCTTTCTAGGGGCCTTTTGGGCGTCTTGAGGCGATCTCGGGGGCTTTGAAACCGTCTTGAAAGCTGATGAAATCCGAAAGGCGAATATGCTAAAATTGTAAGTTTTACGAAGGGAATGGGACGATGTTTGTGGTTTGAAGGCCCCTTGGAAAGCTTTTTGGGGTGCCTTGGGGGTCTTTATGTTGGCATTCGGAAACATCGTGGGGGTGTTTTCGGGGCCCTCGTGGGCCGTTTTGGCGCCTTCATGGGCCGTCCTGGGGCCTTCTTGGGCCGTCTTGGGGAGCTTGGGCCCGCTGGAGCCCCCTTTGGACCCATCTTGGGCACTTCCGGGGACCTCCCATGGCCCTTTTGGGTCTGTGCTGGGAGCCCTTGGGGGGCCTCTTGGTTCCATTATGGGCTGTCTTGGGGCTCTCGTGGGCGATCGTGGGGCCCGGCTCGGCCGTCTTGAAGCTTTCTTGGGGGCCTTTTGGAGCGTCTGAAGGCGATCTCGGGGGCTTTGAAACCGTCTTGAAAGCTGATGAAGTCCGAAAGGCGAATCTGCTAAAATTGTAAGGTTTATGAAGGGAATGGGACGATGTTTGTGGTTTGAAGGCCCCTTGGAAAGCTTTTTAAGGGTGCCTTGGGGGTCTTTATGTTGGCATTCGGAAACATCGTGGGGGTGTTTTCGGGGCCCTCGTGGGCCGTTTTGGCGCTTTCATGGGCCGTCCTGGGGCCTTCTTGGGCCGTCTTGGGGAGCTTGGGCCCGCTGGAGCCCCCTTTGGACCCATCTTGGGCACTTCCGGGGACCTCCCATGGCCCTTTTGGGTCTGTGCTGGGAGCCCTTGGGGGGCCTCTTGGTTCCATTATGGGCTGTCTTGGGGCTCTCGTGGGCGATCGTGGGGCCCGGCTCGGCCGTCTTGAAGCTTTCTTGGGGGCCTTTTGGAGCGTCTGAAGGCGATCTCGGGGGCTTTGAAACCGTCTTGAAAGCTGATGAAGTCCGAAAGGCGAATCTGCTAAAATTGTAAGGTTTATGAAGGGAATGGGACGATGTTTGTGGTTTGAAGGCCCCTTGGAAAGCTTTTTAAGGGTGCCTTGGGGGTCTTTATGTTGGCATTCGGAAACATCGCGGGGGTGTTTTCGGGGCCCTCGTTGGCCGTTTTGGCGCTTTCATGGGCCGTCCTGGGGCCTTCTTGGGCCGTCTTGGGGAGCTTGGGCCCGCTGGAGCCCCCTTTGGACCCACCTTGGGCATTTCCGGGGACATCCCATGGCCCTTTTGGGTCTGTGCTGGGAGCCGGGGGCCTCTTGGTTCCATTATGGGCTGTCTTGGGGCTCTCGTGGGCGATCGTGGGGCCCGGCTCGGCCGTCTTGAAGCTTTCTTGGGGGCCTTTTGGGGCGTCTGGAGGCGATCTCGGGGGCTTTGAAGCCACCTTGAAAGCTGATGAACTCCGAAAGGCGAATATGCTAAAATTGTAAGATTTACGAAGGGACTGGGACGATTTTTGTGCTTTGAAGATTCCTTGGAGAGCTTTTTGGGGTGCCTTGGGGGTCTTGTGGGCCGTCCTGACGCAATTGGAGTCCCTCTTGGAGTGCTCTTGTGCTGTCTGGGGCCTCCCTTGGGCCTTTCTGATGATTCCTCGGATCGCTCTGGGTCTGCTGGCAAGGCGTTTCTGGAGACCCGGAAAGCCGGGTGACCTTTTCCAAGGACGTCCAATGGAGCCCGAGAACCCCAAATCCCGGGGGTCCAGTCTTGGGGGTGGGGGGATGGGGGATGGTTCCCCCCCCCCGGGCTTGCAAAAATATAGGAAGAGGAATATATAGAGGCCACATACGCCGAATTCCTTCGGCGAACTCCTTGGCCCCTTTTGAACGACCTAGCGACGTGGTGTGTGCATCGAGCCCTTCCTGAGGGAACAACGAAGTACCAATACTGCTACTCCTCGCGCATTTCCTGTGGCGCGTCCCGACCACAATCTCGCGGAGACCCCAGCCGTGGTGACGAGGGCTCTCCAGGACGAGCACGGGCATTATAATGAAAAGGGTAAGAGTCATGTTTGCACGATTTTTTGCTGCTTCGAGGCCCGTGCTTTCCTTCTCCCCCGCCTTCCGAGAAGCGCCAGCCCCGCCGCACCAATCCAGCCGCTCCTCCGACTTCATGCTGAACCGGAAGGACCGCGGCCCGATGTGGACCGCCGCGCCCTGCTCCGGCCTGATGCCCAGCACCCGCAGGACGTTCCTGATGTCCACGCCCTCGGAGAAGCCCATCTCCACCAGCAGCCTGCCATGGGCGGCGGGCCGGCCACTTGGTGTTGGGGCGCCGCCCACAGTAGAGGCCTCCCTGATGGGGTCGGAGGATCGCGCCGCATCGGCGATGCATCGGTGACGTGGACGATACATCGGCGCCGACGACGTGAAGAAGGCCGGGCTCCACATCGAGCCGCGTCGGCGATGCATCGGCGATGCTGCGCGATCCACCAGCCTCATCTGCTCGGACCCCATCCGGGCCTAGACGCCAGGGAGGGGGCGAGGAGGAGGACACGCCAGGGAGGGGCCCCACTCTCAGAGGAGAAGGAGCCGATACCGCTGCTCGTCCTGGGGAGCTGTCGTAACCACGGCTGGAGTATCCTCGAGATCTTGGTCAGAACGCATCTGGGAGAGGGCCAGGTAGTAGGTAGTGGGGGTACGGGTATCTTTAAGTCCCCCGACATCCTCCTGGCTTCTCCTCCTTCCCTCAGGCACGCGCTAAGGTGGAGTACGGATCGGGAAAGCACGCCCCGAACCAGGAGGCCAATGCCGCCTGATTTGGCGACGGAGCGCGCCGATTCTGTGCAGAAGCGGGACCTGTCGCTGATCCACGCGCCCTGGCCCCTGTTTGCGCTTCCTTGATTTTCCAGGCCCCCTCCCACTGCCTCCCCACTGCCCAGGCCACACCCTCTCCCCCACCCGAGTGGCCGCCAAGCAGGGACCTTGCGCCCCCCCCCCCTCCCCGCTCCACACCCTGCCCCACAACAGTGCAGAGCGCACGCTGCCGCAACCACTGGACCATGCGCAAGTGCACCATCATCACTGCGCACTGGTGCCTTATAAGGGTAGCAGGGGGAATATGATGTTGCCCGACTGGCCGTGGCGCTCCTGCCAGTTGGAGACCCCCCCCTGGCCTTCCACTCCCCTGCGTCCCACTCAAGCCTCGTCTCCACCTCTTCCTCATGCTCCTCTGCCTCTTCCTCCTTGGCTCCCAGCTCCATCCATCCGAGGGTTGACGAGGCCACTCCTGGGAGGCGTTCGTGGAAGTCAGCCCGATTGAGCAGCGCTCAACCAAACTAAGCCTGATTGGACATTATTCGGTCAGATCCAGCGTGGGACAACACACACACAAGGAATAATTAGCGCCCAGACGGTCCGAGAGCCCTTGGAGTCCTCGAAAGATCGGCCGACGATGCCGAAGAAGACGGTCCAAGGGACCCCGAGTCGCCGAAAGATTGCCCCAAGACGCCCATGGTCTCCAGACGGCCCTAGACGCCGCCGAGAAGTTCCAAGAGAGCCTCAAGAGGCCCTCCAAGAGGGCCCCAACAAGCAAACATCGTCTCAGTTCCGTAGGACATCGTACATTTCTGGCACAGATGACCCCCGGAGGTTCACAGCGTCCAAGACTGCACAAGAGCCCCCCAAGATCGCCCCAAGATGGCCCAACATGCCCCAAAGATGCGCCCAAGAGGGCTCGATGACGGCCCAAGATGGCCCCAAGACAGCCCAAGAGGCGCCCAAGACGGCCCAAGAGAGCCCCAAAACAGCCCCAAGAGGGGCCCAAGAAGGGGACCAGGAACCGAACCGTCCAGCCTTCAGCCCCAAGAGACCCCCAGGAGGCCCCAGAAGCCCTCAAGAGGCCCCAAGGGGCCCCCAAGAGGCACCCCAAGAAGCCCCAAAAATCCCCCAAGAGGCCCCAAGAGGCCCCAATACGGCCCCCGAGAGGCCTCAAAACTCCCTCCCAAAGGCCCCTGCGAGGCCAACCACGAGAGAGCCCAACCAACATCCGTGAAGCCTCTGACCCGCCACCCACCGCCTCCGAAAAATGGCAGCCGCCCAACCGCACCGCATCGACCACAACACCCCGACAACCGACAGCGGTGAGGCACTATGGGCCGGCGGAATGAGCGAAGCGATTCAATTAACGAGGCCCATGCGCAAGTCAATCTCCCACGAACTGCGGGCTAACATCGAGGTTAGACAACACCCACGTTCAGGAACACGCCCTCCAGAGAAAACTGCAAGAAACACTCCACGGGCAGGCGCGACACTGCATGCCGAGTGCACCCGGGTGGCACAGCGAGTCCACGTCCAAACAGCACAGAGTGCATCCAGCAAGCGAGGCGCCGATTGGCGAACCCGGCGGCGGACTGCGGCAGCACGCTGCGCATGCTGGTGCCGAGTGAGCTGACGCGTCATCCCTCGAGAACGACCCGTCTGGGTGCGCCGTCTCTCGGCGGTGGACAAACCTCCCTTTAGTAAACCTCCCCTTAATGAAAACGGTCTGGGACCGAAACCGACGGATCTGGACCCGCAAAAATGACGGCCGCGACGCCCTCTCGCGAACCGAAAACGGCCAATTCCTTAATCGACGTGTCAGGGTAGGAGGTCCATGAACCTCCGAGTCTCTCCTTGCTCACAGCCCGCCGCCGTGCCTCCGGGCACGGAGAGCACGGCGCCCCTCCTCCCGCCGCTGGGCGAGCCGCGGGCGTGCTGTAGCTCACCCCCAGGCTAGACCGCTCGCGCGCCTCCCCATCTCTGAGGGGAGACCGATCGGGGCGGTCGCCACGATAATACACCACCACCACCACCACCGCCGCCACCACCACCACCACCACCACCACCACCACCACCACCACCACCACCACCACCGCCGCCGCCACCACCACCACCACCACCACCACCACCACCACCACCACCACCACCACCACCACCACCACCACCACCACCACCACCACCACCACCACCACACCACCACCACCACACCACCACCACCACCACACGACCACCACCACCACCACGACCACAACCACCACCACCACCACCCACCACGACACCACCACCACCACCACCACCACCACACCACCACCACACCACCACCACCACCACCACCACCACCACCACCACCACACCACCACCACCACCACCACCACCACCACCACCACCACCACCACCACCACCACCACCACCACCACCACCACCACCTTCTTCACCCCACCGCGCTCCCCGCCTCCAGTCTCTCCGTCCTCTCCTCTCTCCTGGGAGAGGGAGGGGGGGAGAGAAGCGGTGGTGGTGTGTTGCTGGGTCCCGTAGTCGAGCCCAGCGAGGCCCTCCACCTGGTAATTTTGGCGATGTTGTGGGCGAGAGAGGCCTAAACCCCTCGCGTCGCCGAAGAATCACTGCGGCAATGTCATTGACAACTGTTTCCCCTCTGTGGGGTGCCCTCGCCGTGTGCCTGGCCGAGTCCACATTTCTAAGATGGAAAGCTGGTCCCAGAAGGGATCGAGACGTACGGGGAGGTGCGCGTTGCAGACAAACTCACGACGTCGGGGTCTGGGAACTCCGCATGCACCAGCACAGATCCTGTCCGGGCTCATCCTGGGCCCAGGATCGGTACATACGCCCTCCGATCCTGGCCACGAAGACATCTACATCAGCCCTATGTTCAGAACGGGCATGGCCAAGATGGGTGTTGGCGTAACGCTGGCGCCCCCGACCAGGGGTGGGCAAGGAAACACGGACACCCGACGTCGTGCTTTTATTCGCAACGTGGCTCCCCAGGGTCTGGATCCCTTCCCGCGAGCTGGCTTTCTATTCATCCCGAACTTTTCGTTGACGGCCTCTGGGGCTCCGTGAGCAGAGGAAGGCAAAACTGCACAAACATACACTTTTCGAGGTCCGAGTCAATTTCTTGGATCTGCGCTGCAACGCCCTCCCTGTCGCGCGGAGCGCACCAAGGGCGGCGCCAAAGTCGTCGCCAGTGGGGCGCAGCGCAGATCCAAGACATCCGCGCGGAGCGCCGACACATTATCTTTACGCCGCTCTTTCCTTCCACCGGTGAGGGCCCCTGGAGGCCGAAAACAGCCCAAAGCCCCCCGTCGTGTGTAGAGGCTTCCTAGATTGGGTCCGACGGCAGAGAGACACAACTCGTTGACACTCCCCCTCTCCCCCAGATTCAAAGTTGGCACGCGCGGGGAAGGCTGCGGCCGAAGTGCAACTCCTTCAACCCACCGCCGACACTGATCACGGCAGGGGGGGGGGGGCATTGGCAGATGAATATGGCATGGGTGTGCGCTGATTCGGCGGTGGACAAACCTCCCTTTAGTAAACCACCTTTTAATGAAAACGGCCTGGGACCGAAACCGACGGACCTGGACCCGCAGCAGTGACGGCGGCGACGCCCCCTCGCGAACCGAGAACGGCCTATTCACTGATCGACGCGTCAGGGCAGGAGGTCTGCCCACCCCCGACGGCTGCTTCCGAGGCCTGGAGCGGGCGGGGTCCTAAGGTCGCGCTCGGAGAAGAGCCCCCCCCCGTCGTGCTCTGCGCCGCGGCGCGAGGGGGGGGGGCGTCGGGCGAGGCCGCGCGCGGCGGCGCGGAGCGGGCCGGGGGGGCGGCGGCGCGGGGCCCGACGGGCCGCGATCAAAACTGGGGGGTGGGGGCAGCGGGGGCCGCAGAACAGGAGCCCTGCAGGGCCCCCGAACAGGAGCTCTGCAGGGCCCAAAAGAAGGCCTTTGGGGCCCGAGACGTGCATCTCTCTCCCCTCACGATATATCGCCCCCCCCCCCTCCCTATTTCGCGACGCCCAATACATGCCTTCGACGAGGCTCCCAGTCGAGTGCGTGTAGTGCCCGCCCCTGGGCTATTCGTCCCTGTCGTCGCCCCCGATCAGAGGGTGGGGTGGCGGCCGCTGAGCCCTACCCCCGCCCCCCCCCCAACCATCGATTCTCATGAATCGATGGGAGGCGGGGGTAGGGTTCGGATTTCGCCACGTGTTCGACGATTTCCGAGGCCTACTCCTGCCGCCCATCGAGTTGCCGATGTGTGGTGAGGCTTCGGGCTGCGCAGAAAGAGCCCTCCCCAGGCAGTCCCAGCTGGCCTCGACAGGCCCCCCGAAGAGCCCAAGGCGGTCTCATCACCCTGGCGCCGCCTCCGGCGCCGCCCCTGGGGCGCGCCCAGGGTTGGGGTGTTAAGACCGCCGTGGGCTACTCGGGGGGCCTGTTGATGCCAGCTGGTACTACCTGGGGGGCCTGTTGAAGCCAGCTGGGACTACCTGGGGGGGGCTGTCCGTGCGCACCCCGAAGCGTTAGCAGGGGTGCACTCGGTGCGAGACCGCGAGACCCGGCAGCAGGACGCCGAGGGGCACATCTGTCGTCCACCTAGCCCGCCCAACCCCGACACCCTCGCGTCGCAGAGCACGAATCGGGTGGGAGGTTCTTGGCAATCTTCGGCCGCGGGGTGCCCTCACCGGGCCGCGGGGCTGCCCCAAACTTCACCTCCGGAGGAAAAGCCAGTCCCCGGATGGGGTCTAGAGCCTCGGGCAGCCACGCGGTCAAGCGACAAGAAGCACGGCCTCGGACATCCTGGGCAGAGGCGCCGCCCCCCGAGACCCCCTGTGCGCACCCTGGGCCCTCGGGGGACAGGGCACTTCCGCAGGGTGTCTGCTGGCAGGCCAGCTCCTACCCAGCGCGCCTGCAGCAGGTCTTGCCCTCCCCGCTGGGAGGGCAGGGGGAACAGCGACCAGGGCCAAGACTGCACTCTGACACGTCGGGGCCGATTTTGGTCACCGTCCATGTTGGTCACCGTCAACTCTTGAAGCCAAGACCAGCATCGACGAGAGACCCAGCGACAGTTTGGCCATGGCCACCGTGTTTCTTCACTCGACTTCTCGCGCCGCCCGCGCGCGCGCCAGCAGCGGCCACCTCCACCAGTCGAGGCGCCTCCGCGCGCGCGCGCGCCCTCACCCGTGCGTCCACGGCAGCGCGTGCGCGACGGAGAAGGCCCTCGCCAGGGCGGTTGCCTTGGACACGACCTCCACCCACAGCCCGAAGATGATCCCCTCGCGCGGCTTGGCCGCAGCGAAATCGTAGACTGGCGCCATAATTTCGCGCAGCAGGAACCTCAGAGTCTCAGGGCTCACGGAGCTCACCTGGGCGACGGAAAGAGAAGGAGTATCACGCGCGGTGGTATGACGACCTTGCGCCGCGGCTTTCGCGGGCCGCCAGCGTGGCACATGGCGTGGAGAAGAGGGCGCTCGCGCGCGACCTTACACGTGAAACTTCGCGCCCATGTTTGCGCAATTGAGCCCATTTTCTTCCGTCGCTCACTTGTTGGGCAAGCTGCTGCGTCCAGGTGAGCAGGGTGTTGTCGCCGTAGCTGTCGGGCCTGAGCACATCAATCAGGCAGTTGAGCACCGCGCTGTCGGACCTGAAGTTGCTGAGAAACATCTCGACTGGGATCATCTTGCCCTGCCCTTGGTCGAACTTGGGCAGCGACGATTCCACGACTCTCACATCCCCGGTCTGCTTGCTGACCTGAATCCACTTGGGCGCAGCGCCCAGAGTGAAAGTCATGGGCATGTACGGTCCCGTGGTCCACCTGTGGTGCCTGCCGCCGTCCTGCGAGGAAAACCAAACAACGCGAACCCCAACTTTCGGAGGCTCTGGCCTGTGTATGGGATTAGAGTACAAAGGTACAGAACCCCCTGATCCGTAGGTAGAGGAAGGAGGGACAGATATGGATCGTTTCCTCCTGTGCGACCAGCGCCCTGGTCTCTTCCAGTACCTGAGCCGATAAGGCAGGCAAAAGGGCGAGTGAGGAGTAGAGATGAGGGTATGAGACGGGTTCCTTTCACAACCCCCGTCCTTTCACGTGGCCCACCAGGAATGTTGGCGTACAAGATATCCTTGTTCGTCACGCCCTTGACGTCCTCGTCTCGGATGACAGCTCCGCTGTCCATATCATAAGTAATGCGTCGTTCCACGGTGTTCCACGCGGGTCCACCGGCCATTGTAGTACGAAAGATTTTGGCTTGCGGGTCCTGTCGTGTCCACGCACGAAGGGCAGCCTGATCGCGCACTTCGCGTGCTCGCTTGATGTCCTCTGCGTAGGCGATCCCCCTCTTCTGTTGACCTCGGGACATAGTCTTCCAGTGCTCGGTGAGGATGTGGTCGGGACGTGTAGTGGTCTGCACGCGTGTCTCGCGACCGCGGACCACCATCTTGCCGTGAGGCAACATCTTGAGGAGCTCGCAGAACCGAATGAGGCTGGTCCACGGCTCACTAAGTTCACGGTGGTCTGCGGCACTGGCGCCATCCCAAACGTCGCGGAAGTCACTCTCGCCCTCGAATGTAGAAGTCGTCTCGAAATCCCTTGTGACATCAAGCTGATCGACGGGGACAGGAATGTTCATCACGTCGTCCGTCGGTCGAAATAGCTTCTTCCGCGGTGTGCGGATGTGCCGGAGAATGCAGTAGCCACGCTTCTCCCAATAATCAGGCTCCGGCGCTGGCGCAGCGACTTCTGAAGCTGATGGAAGAGCAGCAGCAGGACTGGCGTCCAGCGGTATGAGAGAGGGGTCGTCACACTCTGCTGGGTAGGTGAGCGGTAGGTCGGGCAAAGGCGTCTCGCCCAGGGGACGGGACGTAGCTGCCGTGTCCTCGTCGTGCGCCTCAGTCTGCGCAGCGTTCGTCTGCATACTTTGCGCCAGTCCAGAGCACTGCCTGGACACGAAGGTTTCAACCTGGTCTCGAAGCTCAGCGAAATCACCTACAGCGGGCGTCGCCGCCGGCAGGTCGTCGGAGAGAAGGAGGTGTGGGGCGTCAGCCCCCTGTGGCACTCCCTCGCGAGGAGTGCGTGGCCTCTGAGAGGCCGCGCGCAAACTCGACCTGCGCTCGTCGTAGGGGCCTGCGGCCTCACGATGGTTGCGCTGAGACGAGCTGCGGCTAGGGCCGTGTGTGTGTGCGGTGTCTGATGAGAGGATGATACCTTGGGGTTATGCGTCTGCGGCTGCGCCGCCACTGGTCTTCCGAGCTCCTCGAATGCTGCCGCGTGCGCCGATGCAGGGACGGCGGCTGGACTGGCTGCGCCAGTGCCACTGTTCCAACGGCGGGATGCGCGGAAGCGCCCAGGAGTAACGAGACCAGTGGGGCTTGCGCCCGACGCAGTAGGGATTGCTCCCGACGATGGAAGAGGAGAGATAGGATCGAGGTTTGGCTCGCAGCCAGGGGCCGTCATGCCCCCTGGCGTGGCCGAGGAGGCAGGAGGCTCTAAGCTAGGGGAGGGAACCCCTGCTTCGTTAAATAACCGCTGCCCGCCGAAGCTGGGCGTGTTGGTACTAACGCCTCCTACGCCTGTTCCTGATCCTCCTCCTGTCCCCCCTTGGGCATCGATGCGGCGAAGTTCTGCCGCGAAACGCTCCTCGGGGCCGTCGGAACTGGGGCGTGGGTCTCGGGGACACCCGCACGGTCACCTCCAAGGCTTTCCACAACTTCACTGAGCCCACGCGCCGTCGGAGAGCTCGCACGCGGAGCCGCGGCGGACCCCTTACGGCGGAGCCGCCGCGGCGGATCCATCGCGGCTGCGTGCGAGATCGCGACGCGGGGTTCGGTGAATGGTGAGCTTTAAGAGCTGATAACCTGTGTATGGGGTTAGAGTACAAAGGTACAGAACCCCTGATCCGTAGGTAGAGGAAGGAGGGAAAGATAGAGATCTTTTCCTCCTGTGCGACCAGCGCCCTGGTCTCTTCCGGTACCTGAGCCGATAAGGCAGGCAAAAAGGCGAGTGAGGAGTAGAGATGAGGGTCTGAGACGGGTTCCTTTCACATGGCCACCCCCGGCGCGTCCCGCGCGCTATGGAGCTAGGGCCCAGACAGTTTATGTTTATGCAACTTCTTCTTCTTCTTCTTTTTCTTCTTATTCTTCTTCTTATTAGTTGTCTTATTCTTCTTCTTCTTCTTCTTCTTCTTCTCCTTCGAGTCCCAAGCCCATACGCGGCGACAGCAAAAAACGACCGAATCGACAGCCACACCGAAGCCGACCGAAATCGGCAAGCCGAAAGCAATGTCGAAGGGCGCAACGACGCGGCAACGTCACAAAAACCGACCGAACTAAACCGACGGAACCGAACGCAACCGACTGCGACGCAACCGAACCGACCTGGCTGTGAACGCCCTTGCATCCTGCATCTGACAGACCTCGCGGGAGTTGAAGGCGATCGAGAGGTGCCTGAAGACGCCCACGCCCGCCCCGCTGCCGTGCGGCGGCGCGCGAAGCGACTGCAGCGGCACGGCCTTGGCGGACTCCTTCAAGCAGGCCGCCGCCAGGTTCAGGAACGCTACGGCGGCGCTGGCCTCGCGGGCCCTCGCCGACGGCGCCGCCACCGCGATGGCCTCCAGAAAGCTGCGCCCGGAGACCAGCCCCCGCCGGGCGACGATGTCGCCCCGCTGCACGAAGGTCTCGAGGGCCTGGTGTGCCTGCTGGGCGCGGCCGTGGTCGCTCGCCCAGGGCCTGGGGACGCGGAGGCTGTTCAGGCCGATGTGCCAGTCCTCCATGCAGGTGCAGGCCCTCTCGCAGCACCCGGGCGGCGTGGCCGCCCCGTGGCCCGCGGGGTAGTCCGCCTCCCTGACGGGCCACCCCTCCCTGGTTTGCACGCTTGAGATGGGCTCGGGAAAAGCGGGTAGGATGCCCCACAGCATATGTTCTCTCCAAAAGCGGCAGCGGCCGCTGTTGGGCAGGCGGCATGCTGTCTACCATGGACAGCGTCCGCGGCGACACTGACGGCGAGTCCTGATCAAAATGACCAGGACACGCTGTCGGTCTTCGTACCCATTCTCTAGAAGGCATCCTAGATGGGGTCGGGGGATCGCGCCGCATCGGCGACGTGGGCGTGGAGAACATCGGGCTCCACATCGAGCCGCATCCCTGATGCATCGGCACTCCGACCACATCTGGGAGGCCCAAACTCCTTCCCTGCCCACTTCTGCCGTGCCGGCCTGATCATCGCGTCGCCTCCGCTGACGTCCAGCTTCTGGTCTGGCACGTGCCCCGCCTTGCCCGTGAGGTCCGCCAGCGACGGCGCCGCCGGGAGGGCGCCGGGCCCGACGCTCGCCTGGAGATCAAACGCACTGTGAGAGCAGACGGTCGGCAGCGTCTGCTCAGCGTGTCGCGGCGGTGGCCTCGGCGACACGCTACGCCTTGCGAGCGGATAGCGCTCCGTTCCGCTCCGCAGGGCGGGAGGCTTGAAAAACCTCGGCGCGTGGACGCATCAGGACCGTCAAGAGGATAGCCTGTCGCACCAAGGCGCGGTGGGCCAGAACCGGCGGAGCGACAGGCTATCCCAAAGTCCCCGACCGCACACTTTCGAAGGTCCACGCGGATCTCTTGGCTCGGCGCTGGACTGGACCCCTCGCCCAGGGACTGCCCAGCGCCGATTCAAGAGATCCGCGCGGAGCTCTCAAAGTTCGTGGCTCTGTCCCGTGGCAGCTCAGGGGAGCCGCCCACATCCTTTCCTGCGAATCGACGCTGGGCGACGCGAAGTGGACGCCAAATCGACGCCAGCCGACGCCAAGCCGCGCTGGTCGGCGCGAAGCGGCGCGATCTCGCCGATCGCCAGACGCTGATCGGCGCTGGTGCACTCCGACGACGAGCTTGCGATGGCACACGCGGCCTCCGCGATGTGCGACCGCATCGATGCTGCTTCTTCTGAGCAGGGACCGACCGTCCTGGCGTTCCTGCAGTCATACCACGAGATTCTCTTCGAACCCAAAAATGTCCTAAGAACACGAAAACGATGTTCTCAGAACAGAAGCCCGATGTGTTAACACAAGACCATCTCCGCCAGACATGTTCTAAGAACATGCCGTGGGCACCAAGAACATTGTTTGGCAGGGCTGTAGGCGAGCCGGGACGCTTCGCCACTGCTTGACTCTTCTGTTCCCCGCTCGCCGCGCCGGGAGCGAGCGCGGCCCTGCCCGCCGCGTCCTCTCCGCTGCTGGCCTTCGGCCCGGAGGCCTCGGGGGCGCCCTCCCGGTGCTGCTTCCGCTCCGCCGAGGCGGGCGGCTCCGTCTTGGGGGCCTTCGGCCGGGCCTCGCGGTGACACGCAGGGAAGTGGCCCCCGGCAAGAGGGACCTTTGGTGCGCGGCCCAAGGTCGTGTGCACTGCGCGCGAGAGCGGTTTTGCGACAGGCTGCGCCCTGCTAGCGGCGATTCGGGACCACCAGTGTCCCCATTAGCGTCTCTTCGCATGCATGAGCGCCCTCTAGTGTCCACTAGCGCCGATGAGCACCTATCAGCGACCACTGATACTTGAACACAACTTTGCGTTAACGCGCCGGGGAAGACAACAATTCATGCCTCACACTTGCAACCACTCCCACGCATTAGCACCGAACAAATGGGGGGGGAAGGGCCTTTGGCTATCGCGCCGCGCTCAGCGATCCGAAGGCCCCATGAAGCCCGCACCAAAGGTCACCCCAAAGAATGCCCACTCTTACGTGTCAGTGCTGAACCTAAACGGTGTTTTTCGTTTCCGTTTTGCTTTCGTTGTTCCTCGTCATGTCTTCAATCCGCCTTTAATGCAAAACGACATGGGAACGAAAACGGACCACGAAATCGCCAAAACATCGTTCAGGTCCACCCCTGTTACGTGCAACCCGGCCTCAGCCTCGGGCGCGCCCTCGGAGCGTCGCTTCGAGTCCGTCTGGCCTGCCGGCTCGCTCTGCGCCTCCCTGTTGCGCTGTCCGGAGGAGGCCAGTCTCGTCACAACGGCGACCCGCCCTGGCGGTGTCCGACCTCGTCGAGCCTCCAAAAAGCTTCTCGCCGCCACGGCTGTCCGCCTCGGAACACGGGTCACGATGGATCCTCGGAGGGGTCAGAGGATTTCGTTTGCGCGGATGTGAGCGGGGTCGTGGTCTCAACTGTGTATGGGCAGGGAGAACGGAGGGGCGGATCCCCTTCCGACTGTCCGTCGGTAGAAACGATGACGCAACGCAGCGTTCTCCTTAGCATAACACCCACGCTCTGTATAACAAATAGAACAGGAGTCGACGAGGTCGACCGGTTGCATCTGACATGTGCCTCCACAAACGTTTATGCATGACAGACACGTGCATTGCGGGCCAAGCCTCCAGGACATCGTGTAGTATCGGCGCACGCTCCAAATTGTCATGTTGCAAGCACGGTATGCAGTTTCATCAGGAATACGATGAGGTTGGCCATTGGGAACAGCGAGGCTACATCCATGTTTGCGTGACCAAGTAATGGCGAAGGCGTTGTCCAAGATGAGTCTGCGAAGCAAAACGACCGAAGGACAATCATCCAAAGCGATTGCAACGCCAGTAAGTTTGGGAGCGGGAGCCTGATCTCGATGTGCTCATCCAAACTTCGCTCTCCGCTAGCCGTATCCAAGATGTGCTCCTTTCCCACGGCAGGCAGACCGTGTCTCATGCGGAATGTGGTCGTTCTGGTCGGTGATGTGTTGTGCAAAACCACTATCGAAAATCCACGAACGAGACATGCAAGCTGGCTTCTTCGATGGGTCTCCGGCACCAGGTCCCTCCCGCCGGGATTTGGCATGTCGTGCAGGCGTGGCGGTCGCGGGCGCTTGTTAATCGATGTCGCGCTTGATGGTGTCGATCAGCTTGCATGCCTCGTACCGCCCAAGATCCACGTCCTCGGCGGAGCGTCTCCACCACCTGTCGGGTAGAAGGTCAGGGATTTAAGCAGCGGCGCCCTGGTTGGGCGGGGTTTTGTGCGGCCGCATCTTCTTGAACACGGTGTGCGCGAGGACCTCGGTGATGTCGAAATCCCAGACACAGTGCGGCTACACTGTTGGGGCGGCAGCACAGCAGGCGTTGCGTTGGCGGTGGCCGCTGGGAAAGCGGCCATCCCCGATGTAAGAGCGAGATCGGCTGTCGTAGCCGGGTTGTCTGTGGTAGCCACTTCGAACGGGATCGGCCACGCTGTGAGATTTGCTGGGGGCCCCGTGATAGACTGCGGCCGCGCGGAGAACTGCGGCGAGAGCCACGGAAAGGGGGCCGCGAGCCCGGGCGGCGATCGCGGCTGGGCGCGCGGGTGCCCTCCAGACCTTAGGACTGCTGGCGGCCGCGGGCCCAAGAGCAAAGGTCTTCAGACTCCTGCGCGGCTGGCGTTGTGGGCTGCGTGGGCGGCTGGGGTTCCGGTTCCGAGGCGGGCTCGTCGCTGGGCTGGGGGCCAGGCAAAGCGCTGGGCAGGGCTGGGGGCAGGGCAGGGCGCTGGGCTGGATGCGCGGCCAGGCCGGGCAGCTGGGAGTTGGGCGAGGAGCCGAGCTAAGCCGGGCAAGATGCCAGGCGGAGAGCCACGCGGAAAGCTGGCTGAGAGCTGGACTGCGAGCCAGGCTGGGGGGCCGGACTTCTGGGGGCAAGGCTGGGGGCGGGGCTGCGAAATTGGACTGGGGGCCAAGCGGGGGGCCGGACTGGAAGCCAGGCGCTGAGCCAGGCTGGTGGGGGCCTGGCTGGCGGTAGCCAGGCTGCAGGGAGACCGGCTGCGAACCGGGCCGTGGGCCGGGCTGGGAGCCGGGATCAGCAAAGGAATGCGTGCGAAAGCTCGCCGAATCGGCGCGCCTCCTTGTGGGTGTCCGCGCTGGGGTGGGCCCCTGCGTCGGGAGCTGAACTCGCTCGTCGTGACGGTGCTCCGTGCATGGAGGGGGCGCAGGGAGACGGGCGGCTGCAGGTCGCAGTAACCTGCGTTAGGTTTGCTGCGGTGTGCTGTGGAGCGTCTGTCGTGAAAGAGGACAGTGGGTCTTCGAGCAGAACTATGTATTGTCGGAGCCGGTCCACCCACGCAGCGAGCCCAGTCACATGTTTCGACATGTCACAGCTTCGTTTGGTCTGCATCATAACCGGTTGGTCAGCTTTGAAACTGATATTAGGCAGGAAAACAATGTAGAATGTGCAGGGCCATCTGCATCACCATGGCCTGAACCTAAACTGCCCGTGTCTTTCCAACATGCGTTGTACTGAAACTTCGTGAGTTCGTTTGTGTTCTTCCATGTGGTCTTCACCGCCCGCAAGGTATGATACTCAGCTACCGAAGGGGCGCGTTTGTCAAGCGAACTGATACCCAACCAACCGGCAAGCCTGGGCCCGTGCACCATGCAGCTCAGCCGCTGCATGTTCGACCGAGGAGAATTCGACGGCAAGCGAAGGAAAAACACCGAGATTAGAGTGGGACAAGTGATGAAATATCTCACTGCCAACAACGCAAAGCTTCCCAGACCTGTCTTCATGAACATGTGTTATTTGAATACGCAAGTGCGCCGTGCCCCGAAGGTGCAGGTTTTCAATTCCCATCCAGATTGCGAACAAAGCCAAGCAATCCGTACACGTAGGCACCCGGTAGTGCGGCTCGCGGTCGTGGGTGTCCTCGTCCGCGTCAGGGTCGAGCCCTCTGGGTGTGCCCCGGGCGATCTTGACGAGCGCTTTCTCGGAGGCGCGGAGCGTGAACTCGCCGCTTCTGTCCAAGCGATGCTCCGTTCGAAGCGCGGCGTGGCTTGGATTACCTCGCGGGCGAGCAAGCTGATCGTGATGCCGAAGGCAATGCCTACGCGGGCGTTGCCGCCGGCTGCAGGAGGGACGCAGGTGTTGCCACCGATTCGCATGCCAAGAACTGCAGGAAGCTGCCCTTGAGGCGTGGCTTTCTGGCGCCCGGAGGGGGGATCAAAGTAGGGGTGGCGACCGGCCCCTTTCGCTCAAATCGCTGCAAGCGGGCAGGGGGCGAGGCACCGCGCCGGCCAATCCAATTTCTGCAGCGAAAACGATCACTGATAACACGCGCGCGTGAGCGCGCAGAGAGACGAGGAGCAGAGGAAGAGCAAACAGCACCAACAAGCACACCACTGTGGCACGCGCGCGCATGCATGCCTTCCTGTCCCTCGGGGCCGACGCCAAGGCACATCGCCTGCGCAGGTATCCTCGCATGGGCGCTCGCAAACATCCAGTGAAGGAGGTTGCGCAGGCGGGGTTGCTGATCGGGCATCGGAGTCCTGGGGTCCTTGTGAATGGGCTTCTCTGGGGGTGGGGCCTGTGTGGGGCGGATGCGCGGTAGCCATGATAGGTCGTTCCACAGGTGGGCCTTCATGGCCTCGAAACGCTAGGTCATCATATCAGCGACCTGTTCTCTTTTCTACATAGATTTAACGTCTGCTGGCTCTGCAGCGCATGCGACTGCAATCGCAATCGAGATCAATGCAAACAGTGCGATTAAGATGGCTGGGCGCTGGTGCACGTGCCTGTTGGACAATCCTAACAACGGCCCGGTTGCCCCCCGCAATGCCGAGCGCTGCCGATGGTGATCCCTTGTGGACAGGCTCGGCCAAAGATGCGCGCAGCACTTTGTCCTCGCGCGCAACCGCGCTTGCAGGCGTTGTGGTTGCGGGGCGATCTCACGGAAGTTAGCTTTCACAAGGGGAAGATTGTCCGCCAGGAGAAGATGCACGTGTAGGCGGGGCCCTCCGTGGTGGAGTCTTCCGTCGCTGCTTCTCGGCAGCCACTGCCAAAGTCGACGGCGTGCCTCTGGTCACCACAGACTCCCAATTCGAAAATAATTGAAGTCCGTCAAAACGCTGTTCTGCGTCTAATGCGACGATCTCGGATTCCGTAGCAGAATGAGATGCGACGGTCTCCCTCCTGCAAACTGCGTTGACCGGAAAGAAAGTGCCGGGCCCCACCAATGCGGCGAAGACGCCAGTAGCGGGTTTCGAAATACCCACGCAGTCCGCGCAGGATGCATCTGTGAAGAGATAGGCAACTTTTCGGCCGAGTCACCAATCCAGCAGCGCAGGCAGTGGGTGCTAGTGTGCCTCAAGTAACAAGCAAGACGATGAAGTCCCATGTCGAATTCGTAGTTCCACTCGGCAATCTCTCTGGCCAACACACGGACTGGGCGAAGAGGGTCGAGCCAGATGCATCGCGCCAAATCGAAAGTTTTCGTCAAAACGCTCGCCGCACCTTGGCCGAGCACGCCAGGTTTCTCGCAATCCTGACGAGCGAGGGGTGCGTCCTCGACTCCTCGATGCCAGGCGCCCTGGCGAAGGAGAGTTCGTCGCAAGCTATGGCGTCGTTCGCGGGCCTCTCGACCGACGCGCCCATCCGGGCAAATTTCTAAGATCGTGGCATTGAGCCGTGTTTTGTTCGGAAATGACCCAGGCCCGCGGCTGCCAGTCTCTCGGCCGACGTAGAAGATCGGATCGAGAGAGAGCGGGGTGTCCCAGGCAACGGAGATCCGCGCCGACGTTTCCCGGGCGCGCCTGGAAGTTCGGCCGCGCACTCGAGGCGTCGCGGCGTGCGTCGACGAGCGAAGCCAAACATGACATATCCAATGCCACGAACGACCTATGCGGATTTGTAGTCCGCAGGGCTGTGCTTGGGAAACATCGGCCGCATGGTAGACATGCGCTTTTGAAAACCAGATTCATGCACCTCGCGCGTCTTCCGGCAGCAGCCCAGGTACTCATCATACGGCGTAGGCGGATTCAGCTCAATGCCGCTCTTGCGGATTAGATCTCGGTCAGGCATCAGATTCCCTTCGGGGCCCGCCATCCTGAAGTCGCCCGCGCAGGCGGACAAAATGACATCCTACTCGTCGCGCTTCCAGACGCACTCCCGCCCGTGAGTGGGCTTGGACCCCGCGCTCTCCGAACGCGCGCGACAGTGGCGCCCCCGGAACGCGCCCGCCAACCGGTGGCCGCAGAGATCCAGG